ATTACAATACAATTGTCAACTGATTCTTTAATAGGAAAATCTCTGATTTGAAAAGGGAACTTCTAAAGTTTTAGTATGCCAAGTTGAAATACTTTACCAATATTATAAAAACAAATTATTTGCATGAATTTTGATTTTAACTGTTGCTAAATAAAAGACTATGGGCTTATATGAATCCAGAATACATTACATTTCTAATGTAGTAGTGTACTATTAATTCAAGGCTACTTATTTTACCCCGAGTTGTTAAAGAAGAATCACAAATTTTAAATATATTCCAGTCGAATCTACACGGAACAAATGTCAATGGGAAGTGAACAGTCTATTTCAGATTATATTATGGGAAAAGTGTATGGTGATAATGCATCTCAATGAACCCGCTTATTTATTATATCACAAAATGGGAAGATCAACCCTGAAATGCAGGTACGCACAGCTGACGAGTCTTAAATAGGACGAAGCGCGCGTCCTGGATTCCACTGCTAGCCACTATCCATCTTTGTTTATAACGCTTGTGATTTAGGGCAATATCGTGGCAATACGCATTGTATGTACATTTGCCAATAAGAGACTGACCAGTTGTAGTCCTAAGCATCAATGTGAAGATACATCAGCTTGTAGTGACCTACTTTTCATGACGAGAACACGATCGGTATAATGAAAACAATTATTATAACCAGTTTTACCAGCGATTGTTCTACTGTATTTTCTTGTTTAACTGAACAAAATACACTTTTCGTTCCGTTTTACGCTTTGCCATTTCGCCTGTAATCTTTGGCACGTTACCACGAGATCGCCAATAAATATATCTTATCTGTGCCAGTAACAGCCTTCTTGTTTTAAGCCGATCGAGGGATACAAGTCGTTATCTCGCACGTAACCTCATTGTAGTGGTGATCATAGTCAATCGCGACTCCACACCCATCTACAAGCTCCCCTCAGCTGTTACATATGGCCACCCACCAATGTCACATGAGAAAATTATTAGCCAGACAGCACTAGTGGCTTTGAGTCACGCCTAAGTTCTTATTGGTCCTCAATTCGGTAACTTCCCTCCCTGCCCCATTCGTTGAGTCCAAAACATGGTAATCTGACTTCAATATATGGATGTTATATTCCAATCTTATGTATTTTATATCCAAACATACTCGACCACACCACATCATAAAGTGAAAGAAACGATATATATGATAAAGCCAAAAAGTGGCTGGGAGTGGGAGTTGCTGTGAATGACAAACTGGCAATAGAATAAGGATGGTAAGTCATGTAGCAATAATTAGTGGCTTGATCTAAAGCTCATGATAAAAGCAGTACATAGATATAACAATCTAGTTATTCAATAGTTATGTAACCAGGATACACGCAATAATGGTTTACATGTAATTCCGGCATTCACTACTCCTTTAATGTCCGTTCGAATATAGCAACATTTGTCCTCACGGTTTCCATGATCCTTCTGAGCCTTTTATTTAAACATATGTGATCGATCCTGTTCTGATCAGCGGAGACCAGTGAATTTCACGTGGTTTTATACATGAGTTTATGTGGGAGTTCGGTACAACCAATAACCGCTTTCTTGAGGATACACATGTTTCTTAATTTCTCACCACTGTCACTCCTTTTTCCCGGTTCATTTCGTCCCATTATGTCTTCATACACGGTTTTGTCCACTCCGAACTTGGCGTTTATGTCTCCCATCAGGATGATCAATTACCATGATGGATATCTTTTAACGATCGACTTTAGCCTCTCACGAAACATATTTATCTTTTTCTTAGCCTTAATTGGTGAGTGCTTAGCACTGGATAACATTCACTGTGATGCCTGCCTTCTTTGTTTTAGTTATTTTGGACTGATGCGGTTCTCATCCCACAAGTGTTTTACGTAATTCTTTGGACAGCATTATTGCAGCTCCATGATTGTTTGACAGTTCTTATTCTTCATGGCCAGAGTGCAATGTTATATCTTCCGAGAATAGTTTTTTCTGTCTAACTTTTGTCTGATTAGTTTCACATTTATCGGGCTCCTTAAGGTTCAATATTTACATTTCCTCCTAGTCTTCCACACCGTGCACACATTTTATGTACTTATGCCAGTTGTCGCTCCGATTGTCAGAATAGAACTCGTGATATCCGGGGAATTCCGGATCTAACTATGAGACGTCTTAGCTTTTCCAAATGAAGATTATTCAAATACCAGGACAGACTTTAAATGGGGTAAATGATATTTATTGCTTAGCGGGGTTCTGGCAATGCTTTTTTCTACGGGATGGGTGTTACAGAAACAGTGAAGATATTTTACTGGTTAGAAACTGTCACATTGGATATTATTAATTCCACTGTTTTTGGATATGTTTGTTCCACTCAACTTTCAGACCTGTTTGTTTATGTCTATGTCTTCGGACATTTCGGTTTCTCTTTTTCTTTGCTTTGGTATTTGGAAGTTTCTGCTGAGGGAACCTGAAAAATCGAAGTTTTGTTTTGTAATTGTTATAATTGTTAGTAGAAAGATATTAAGGCCGATTATCTGTTGTTTGCGAACAACTTTTGATGCCCGAATTGAAGTTTGGTTCTATTGTCTTTTTGAGTTCATAAGTTATAAGCAGATAGACATACTGTGTTTCAATAACGGAAGAGAAGGAAAATTCGGCCGTAAAAATGGGGTTGGCGAACCCATGCTCACCCCTCCTCCGTTATATGCGCCTGGGACTCGCGGTTACCCTAGAGAGGCTGCAGGTGGGTTAGCAACGTTAGGAATGGGCCAATATAAAAGTCAGTTGTTTTAAATACGTCTATATATATAGGATGACGGCCAAAAATAACCTCTAGGAAACACCACAGCACATCTCAAGTGTCCCAATGGCCGGTGAAGACTGATCCACCAAATGAGGTGGAGGTCCGCATGGAGCTCCAACTCTTGAAACGCTACAAATCACCGGGCCCAGATGATCTACCTCTGGCTCTTTAAAAATGGTGGTGGGGCTGACAACGTTGTTTACATAGGTCCGGGAGCTAGAGGGTGTTCCAACATCACGGAATGAGTTGATAGTTGTCCCTATCTTTAAAAAAGGTTCACGTCGTTCCTGTAACAACTATCGGGGGATAAGTCTGCTTCCGATTGCGTCCAAATTATTGGCTTCCATCATATTTCGTAATTTGTTCAAAACCCCAGGATTGACTCTCTAGGAGGACGCTGGATTTCGTTCTAGTCGAGGATGTATTCATTATATCTTCACCCTCTGCCAAATGTTAGGATACCATCATACTTATCACAGGTCAGCAATCGTGCTTCCTGGCATCAGGGCCACCTTCAGTTTGCTGGGCAAGACTGTTTTTCGGGATTGTCTATTGAAGAAGGGTGTGCCTGAGAAGTTTATTAACATCTTAAAGGTCCTATATACAAACGCCTCAGGGCATACAACCACCTTTCTCCATTGTTCCATTCAAGCAGTGGGGTTAGACAGGGTTGTTCAATCTCACCATTCCTCTTCAACTTTGCTATCGATAACACTCTGGAAACAGCTCTGATAGATGTAAGCAATGGCGGTGTGGATCTGTTGCTTCGAGAAAGACTTCTCGACCTTGATTATATGGATGATATTGTCTTACTGGGCGATAATGCTCAAACCATGCAATCCGCATTTAATCAGCTGGCAATCAGTGTCCACAGATACGGCATGTGCTTTGCACCTTCGAAATGCAAAGTTCTTTTACAAGGCTGGCAGGATTCTCATCCTGTACTCACCCTGGGTGGTGAGCAGATTGAAGTAGTCGAGAAGTTCGTGTATCTAGGTAGCTGCGTAAGTGCTGGTGATGGCGTGAGTGATGAAATTGATGCACGTATAGTGAAAGCTAGAGCAGTTTGTGCCAATCTGGGCCATCTTTGGCACCTTCGTGATGTTAGTCTGGCTGTAAAAGGTCGGATCTACAACGCGTCCGTGAGAACAGTTTCGCTCTATGCTTGTGATACGTGGCTTTTCTTAGTTGAAGATGTTAGACGACTCTGGGTTTGATACTCATTGTCTCCGAAGGATTGCTGACATCCAGTGGCAACACCACGTTAGTAATGCGGAGGTTCGGCATCATGTGTTCGTGCACAGTGACGATAGTTCAACTGGTGTCACTATCTTGAAACATAAAGTTAAGAGACTTGGATGTGTTATACGAATGTCGTCCCAGAGAATTCCACGTCTTGGATTATTTGAAGACGCTGGGACTGGTTGGAAAAGTGGAGAGGTGGTCAGTTTGAGACAGGGTGTCGTGATATGAAAGAAAGATGTACGAGACTGGCTTTTGTTGCTCTTTTACGACTCCGCGGTTGGGGTCTTAGAGATGGAGTTGTTAAGAAACGGGTACTAGGTAAGGATGGAAAATCGATTGATGAAGTAGTAATTGTTGACAGTGGTTCATAAAAGAAAATTACACCTGAACATTTACCGCGTAATAGCTTTCTTCGCTTCGGAAATTTCGGTCGTATCCTTCTTTCATAACCACACAAATTTTGAATGGGAAAGAGGTGAACTTCACGCATTGTTTGTGCAGAAGAAAATCACGTTCTGAGAAACGTCAAACAGTAACACAGCATTTAGGCCAGTATTCTTTGGTTTTTCGAGACAATGAGGTGACTGTTTGAGTTACTACACTCATACGTAGTTCATCAGAAGTAGTTTAGTAAAAGGCCTAGTCCAGCTCCTCACCATCGATTTGTTCCATGATTAGTTGCAGGATGTCTGGATAAGCTCGCTGCAGTTGTCTGACAGGCCAAGGTTCACTTTTGAAGACCCTTATCCTTTTTTAGGAGAGACTGAAACTGGTTTTAAGAGTGGTCATACCAATATCAGAAGAATTTAGTCATTTCGAGTGACCTTACTAGGAGTAATAAAGGAATGTGTTCAGGCCTAAGGACTGGTTGAATTTTGCTCTTTTCTACAAGTGTTGTTTTTTTTGGAGCTAAAAAAGATCAATTAAAATTTTTCCCCTTAAACACTTTCATTTGTTTAGTGCAGCTCCGGTCAGTCCGGCTGTTAAAACGGACACTAAGTAGCGCGAAAGGTTTGTTTTCTATTTGATGTTTGGTTTGCCGAAGTTCAGTTTTCGGTAATAAGGATAAGAGGTCCATTGATCCATATTAATCCTTGCAGTTTGTAACACTGTAAAAGTTCAATCTCGTTTTTAATATATCAACAGAAGGTGCTGATATTACTTGTTCTGGTAGAGAATTGCAGTAATTAACTACTCGGTGCGAGAAACGAAACTTCAGACGTAGACGACTTGGTCTCGGTTTTTTAGTTTCCTTCAAATGCATGACAAACTGGCATTATGTAGCCACAAGAACTCTTATTTATCAAAGGGCTTCGAGCCTAAGCAATTTACGTGAATATTAGGTGTTAGACTTTTAAGATTGTCGACAGGCTAGTAGCCAACCTAACACTTTTAAAGGGCGCTGCGTGCAGTTATTAATGTTCGAAGTTTGAATGTCTTCATCTACTTCAGTCTAGGCAGCCAAATAGTACGAAAGCAAGACTAAATCATGTTGGATCAGCTGAGAGACCATCATTGCCAAGACTAACACAGGCCATCAAGCCTCCTGTCCTTTCCAAACTGAAACTGGATGGCTGTATGTTATTTTAAAAGTATTTTTTACTTTCCGATTATTTCATTTAACAAAAGGGGTTTCCTTGTTGTGACTTTTATACGTTCGGCAAGACAGACAAATATGTGCTTTAAACAGAGCATTGTCCGAATCTAAACACGTACTCTATAGCAAATGAGTCCTCTATCTGCTCCACGCCAACGATGGTCTGTGGAAATATCCATTTTCTTCCTTGAGTCAACCATTCAGATCCAAAAAAGCATATCTCAATGGTTGACCCGAGATCATCATTGTAGTCTAGTTTTACTGGTATTATTAATTTTCATACGTAAAGTATAGTTGTTAGTCAAGTACATCTTAATATAGTAATGAGTAAGGAAATGCATGCAATTAATAAATGAGATATATGGTGAACTAGTTTTAATGAAGTCAGAGGTATCTTACTGCTTATAATACAGTGAAAAATTACATGGATCACATTTAGCTTTTACTCTGAGCCACTGAGAAGCGTAGTAAGCAGTCTCGACCAGTAGTTCTAGACCTTAGGTGCTGTACCTCAGAATCGTCCACATTAGCACGGATGCATGTACTTTTAATTTCTCTGAACCTTGGGTTTTACTATTATTTTACGCTTCATTACATTTATTTCTGAATCTTAACACAATTAGCACTGCTATTATTTCAACTTCTTTGCGGTTTATCGTGTTAATTTTGTTTCGTGATCCTGGTTTAATGTCACCACTTAAGCTGGTGTATGTATGCTGTAGGTCTTACGTTTATTATGACTAACTGGCATCTCAAGATCTTGTGATTGTCTGACAAGTAACTGTAACACTGAACTACGGAAAAAGCAGCTAGGTTTCAGGTTTAAAATGCTAACCTAATTCCACACGTCTAATTTAGGATCACATCTGACGGCAATCGCACCTTTGAGGATTTCATTTAAAAGCACATCATGTTTGGAGATTGACTTCAGATATTTGACCTCAATTGAATAGTACTGACTAGTTAGTGTTCACCTACTGTTAGTTACGCTTAAAACTAAACAGGAAATCAGTTGATTTGTGATTTGGATATTCATCATTCAATCTAACCTTTGTGTAGTCTTTCTTAACCGGACTACCAATAGATGAACATCGAAATATAAGTTACAAAATTAACCCATTGTGTCACTGAACAGAAATAAAAGACAAGTGGAGAAACGTTTCTTCTCGATGGCATCATTTGCTAAAGTTGTACAGTCGTATTTATGATAATTCAACAAATAAATAGCCTGTTGAATAATAGGGAGCCCAATGCTTAATAGGCTGTTCGAAAACTCCAAGCGTTAAAAAAAGTTGCGTAACCATCGGTAAGAGAATGGATAAGACGGCGCCCAATTTGTGAAAAATAATTGTTAACTTGGCAAATATGAGGACGGTATAAAGTTAAAAAACGTGGTATTGGTAACGAATCATCGAAAAAATAAAAACGCTAAGGAAAAGTACTCACATCTAACTTATCATGTACACACATCAATTGTTTGGGCTGTGGGTAAAATCAGGGCTTTCACCTGTCGCTTTTGTACACAATGAAGATTTAAAAGGAATTGTTGACGCCTCTTTAATGAACAGATTATTCATTTATGCTCTCTTCCAACTCAATCGTCTGACTGTTAAGGTAATCTTGAATGATATATCTGATGGGACAGTATGATAACACTCGTCAAGCTGTTTCATTATTTATCTGTTTATTGTTTTGTAAATTCTGCATCTGATATTATTCGGCATGTTTTTTTTCCTCTAAATATCTCATTCCTCTATTAATTAAAATTCTAAAAATTCCCCCAAACGCCCTGGTAAGGTCGAGAGTAGGGAGAGTCCGCTCTCCTCGAAATGCTGTCACTTGGCCACGCGTATATAGCCTCTGCCAGGGAAGTCTACTCACTGCCTTCTCGTGGCGAGGGTGTTGTTTAACAAAATGAGAGGACGAAAAGCGAAACGCCGGCGCTTTAACTGGGTTGGTGGACATGGAGGGTGAACCAATCGTTGGTCACCGGTTACCATTGGACTGCATCTTCTTACGTCGCTTCACTGCCTTGTGGGTCAGACCTTTAGGTGAAAGGCTCTGAGTGTGGCCCTCTAAGAAAATCACCTGTTTCGGTCTGGGCACCCGGGCAGTATCACCGCCCTCACGAAAATCTAATGAGATGGCAAATACTTCACGAAATACTATGCTCGCTTCAATTAGAATTCAGATAATTCACATTCACTGGATAACACTCATTATTATTTTATTTATATACTACGTCACTTATCTTCCTCTATTCTCACCTCATGTAATCCCATTTTTCAACTTATTCAGCAGCTCGCCAATGGTGGAAACTGTTCTGTCTAAACGATCTCCATTCACTGTCTGGTCGAAAGTGAATGCTTCCACCGAATACGAATACTGAACTAGTTTTTCTGAAATCACGTACACCATTTAAACTGGCTTCCTCCAACGTTCGCACACTAATGCAGATCGAACAACAGACAGGGCTGGCTATGTCTCTAGAAAGTTTTAATATCGACGTCTTCTTTATATCTGAGACCCGTATTCAAGACTCTATAGAAGTGCTACAAATTCGCTGTCCATCTGTCGCTTCGAAAAGCTTGTTTTACGTGCGTCTATCCGGGGACCTTGTGGCATCTTCGTCTGTTTTAACTGGCGTTGGTGTCACACTAAGCGCCAGGGCTGAGGCAGCACTAATCGAGAGAATGGGGAGAGTCTCCTCTCCCTCTCGAAATGCTCTCACATGGCCAGCGAATATATAGCCTCTGCCAGGGAAGTCCTACTCACTGCCTTCTCGTGGCGGGGGTGTTGTTTACGAAAGTGAGAGGACGAAAAGCGAATGTCCGGCGCTTTAACCGGGTTGGTGGACACGGAGGGTCCACCTAGGGGAGTTAGAAAACCCTGATTCCAAACCAATGGTGCACATGGGCTCCAGTATCCTGATGGAACGAATGGCGGACGAACCTGTCATTGGTCAACGGCTACCATGGGACTGCATCTCCTCATGATGCTCCACTGCCCTGTGGATCAGACCTTTTGGTCAAAGGCTCGGGGTGTGGCCCCCTAAGAAAACCACCTGTTTCGGTTTGGGCACCCGGGCAGTATCACAGCCCACACACAAATAAATGAATTCTATTGACGATGCTATTCCTGCTCATACTAGAAGCAAGACAATTTACATTATTATTATTATTATTATTATTATTATTATTATTATTTACCATATCGCTAACTCACCACCTTTTATCCCCAATTTGTGTAACCTTACTTTTCAACATATGCAGCAGCTCGCCCATGGTGGAAAATCTGTCCTATCTAAACGATCTCCAGTCACTGTCTGGTTGAAAGTGGATGCTTCCACCGATTATGAATACTGAAGCAGTCTTTCTGAAACCACGTACGCCGTTCAAGCTGGCTTCCTTCAATGTTCGCACACCAATGCATATCAGACAACAGATAGGGCTGGCTATGTCTTTGGAAGGTCTTAATGTTGATGTTTGTTGTCTATCCGAGACCCGTATTCAAGACTCTAGTGAAGTGCTACAAATTCGCTGTCCATCTGTCGCTTCGAAAAGCTTGTTTTACGTGCGCCTATCCGGGGACCTTGTGGCATCTTCGTCTGTTTTAACTGGCGTCGGTGTCACATTAAGCGCCAGGGCTGAGGCAGCACTAATCGATTGGATCCCCATTAACAGTTGGTTATGTGCTGTTAAATTAGAAGGTTTCATCAAAGAATAAATTGGTGTGAGAAACGATGTCTATTCGTCATCGCCTATGCCTCGACAGATTGCAGCTCGGATGCAATCAAGGATGAATTTTACAACTAGTTAGCTGTTCTTCAGAAAGTGCATCCAACAGATATTGTAGTACTAGCCAGAGACTTAAATGCTCAGGTCGGGCGTCTAGGCACAGAAGAGAGTGGTTTAGGTGGCCGATGGGGACTTGTTGGTCGCAGGTCAGATAACGGGGACCATCTACTGCAACTTTGCGCAGACCACTACCCATTTCTGGCCAGCACTACCTTCCGGCTTAGTCATCGCCGGTGTGCCACCTGGCGTCTTTCCTCTGCATCTCAAGCCTGGACTCAGATTGATCACATCGCGGTCAGTTACCACTGGTGCAGTTGTGTACAAAACTGCCGCTCCTTTTGGAGTACCTATCTGAACTCTGATCATGCCCTTGTTTTCGCTAATCTTACCTTACTTTTCAATAGCCAACGAATTCATCGTCATCAACAGATTTATGTCAGTAAATTGATTTCAGCTTCTGTCGCAACTAAGAATCAAACCGAGCTAGATTCTAGGCTAGCTATCATCCCACCGAGAAGTATGGATGAGTATTGGTTGCAATTGCATGACGCCATAACGACGCTTCGCGAAACATCCCGCTTATAAGCACTGGGTTTCTTCAGGCTCTTTACAACTCATCGAAGCCCGTCAGTCTACTGGTGACCGTGTGTTTGACCACAAACGAAGGCTGTTACATAATGAAATTGGACAAAGGTTGCGTAAGGAACGAAAAGCCTGGTGGTCGGAGCGAGCAAATAAGTTGGAAGCAGAAGCTGCATCTGGTAACTGCCGGAAGCTCTTCAAACTTGTCCGAGCCATTAGCAGCAAGAAGTCTGGTGTGAGCGAAACAATCTACGAGGATGACAGAATGTCAATCACTAATATCCATCAACGCCTTGGACAATGGACAGAGTTCTTCGAAGGGCAGTTCAACTGGGTGGTGCTTCTGCAACATCGATTAAACAGTCCTGCCTTCCATGGTTTGTGACGAATGATCCACCAAATGAGGTGGAGGTCCGCATGGAACTCCATTCAAGCAGTGGGGTTAGACAGGGTTGTCCAATCTCACCATTCCTCCTCAACTTTGCTATCGATAACACTCTGGAAACAGCTCTGATAGATGTAAGCAATGGCGGTGTGGATCTGTTGCTTCGAGAAAGACTTCTCGACCTTGATTATATGGATGATATTGTCTTACTGGGCGATAATGCTCAAACCATGCAATCCGCATTTAATCAGCTGGCAATCAGTGTCCACAGATACGGCATGTGCTTTGCACCTTCGAAATGCAAAGTTCTTTTACAAGGCTGGCAGGATTCTCATCCTGTACTCACCCTGGGTGGTGAGCAGATTGAAGTAGTCGAGAAGTTCGTGTATCTAGGTAGCTGCGTAAGTGCTGGTGATGGCGTGAGTGATGAAATTGATGCACGTATAGTGAAAGCTAGAGCAGTTTGTGCCAATCTGGGCCATCTTTGGCACCTTCGTGATGTTAGTCTGGCTGTAAAAGGTCGGATCTACAACGCGTCCGTGAGAACAGTTTCGCTCTATGCTTGTGATACGTGGCTTTTCTTAGTTGAAGATGTTAGACGACTCTGGGTTTGATACTCATTGTCTCCGAAGGATTGCTGACATCCAGTGGCAACACCACGTTAGTAATGCGGAGGTTCGGCATCATGTGTTCGTGCACAGTGACGATAGTTCAACTGGTGTCACTATCTTGAAACATAAAGTTAAGAGACTTGGATGTGTTATACGAATGTCGTCCCAGAGAATTCCACGTCTTGGATTATTTGAAGACGCTGGGACTGGTTGGAAAAGTGGAGAGGTGGTCAGTTTGAGACAGGGTGTCGTGATATGAAAGAAAGATGTACGAGACTGGCTTTTGTTGCTCTTTTACGACTCCGCGGTTGGGGTCTTAGAGATGGAGTTGTTAAGAAACGGGTACTAGGTAAGGATGGAAAATCGATTGATGAAGTAGTGAAACTTCATCAGGTGTGATGGCTGGGACACGTGTTACATATGCCCAAACACTGACTGCCTCGACGTGCGATGTTTCATGGTGTAGGAGAAAACTAGGGGCGGCCAAATCAAAATATGGCACAAATCCATGAAGTCATTGACAATTAGGCTGTGTCATGCTGGTAGGTGTAGACTACTTGGTTGGGATTCACGAGATGATAGCAACCAATGGTTGAAGACCTTGAATGACATGGCTCAAAATCGTTTGCAATGGTGAAGGTGCAGCCACTCTTTGTGTTCTGCCAAAATCTGTTCTTCTGAATTCTTCATGTCTCTATCTTTTTTAAAAAATTTATTTCACTGGATTATACTCCTCCAATAACATCTTCAAACACTAATCCTTCACATAATGCTTACACTCTTACTACTTCTACCACTATAGGATTTGAATGGGAAACTGCATCTCTGTGCTAATGTGTTTTGGCAACTCGAATTGATGTACGTACGTACGAAGTTCTGCGTTGTGACTGACTGTCCTAGAGATGGTGCAACGCTGGCTAGAGACGTTATCAGATATGGCTCAGAATAGAAGCCAGTGGCGATCCTATTGTAAACTTATTTTACTTTCCCCATAAAAAGTGGCCATAACTTCTTTGACTGAAATTCTTTCCGGTTTCACCTTTCTGTTTCTTTCACTACCATATACTAATATGTGGTCTTAATTGTTCTTTTTTCTTTGATACACACCTTACACTTTATCTCTTCCCATTGTCATTGTTACTTTGTTGCGCATATGTATCTGGTGCCCCGTTGTACAAATGTTTATGTGTTCAAATAAATAAGTGAACTAAAAAATCGATTCGAAAGCCATTCTGTATTCACTTCAACTGCGGCTTTACACAGACCTGTCAAATAGCATCATGAAAAGTGCTTGAATAAAGTAACTATTGGAAAAATGCATTTTACAAACATCTTGTCTTTAGTTTTCCTCCTTCATGAAATTGATAGTACATCAATCGAAATGAATAAACGTACGCGGTTCTACTTAGTGCATCAAATTAATTTAATGAATACCAACTGCTGAGATGTAGGTAGATAATCTTGTTTTATTGGTTGGTAATTCATCCATAAAAAACCTAAGCTACAATCCAAATTCAAGCAAGATAAATGTGGTGGACATTCGAGACGCAACTCAATCTGAAATTGTTTAGTTATGAACCCTTTTTGTCTCACCTGATAAGGTCGAAATTGTCACCCTATCCGTCTGTGTCAGCTGTTGTTTGTTAAACCCATTGAGTTGTTGCTCATTATTTCTGTTGCGTTTGCATACCCCACGAGTGTGAAATGATTAATCTTAAAACTGGTATCTGATCAGTTTGTTTCTGCTATTGATCTTTTTTGCAGCTTATTCAATCATGGGTGTCCCAGCCTTTTTTAGATGGCTTAGTATGAAATATCCATCGATTGTTACCCATTGTGTAGAGAAACGTGGGTCTGTTTTGGATGATGATGGCAATAGATCACCTGTAGATACGTCGGAGCCGAATCCAAATGGAGAAGAATTCGACAATCTATATTTAGATATGAATGGTATTATCCATCCATGTACGCATCCAGAAAACAAACCAGCTCCAAAAACGGAATCGGAAATGTTTGCAGCTATTTTCGAATACATAGATAGACTGTTTTCTATTGTTCGCCCAAGAAGAGTACTGTATATGGCCATCGATGGAGTGGCTCCACGTGCTAAAATGAATCAACAACGCTCCAGACGTTTTCGAGCAGCCCAAGAGGCGAAAGAAAAACAAATAACTATTGAGCGTTTAAGAAATGAACTAATTGCTAGAGGGGCACATCTTCCACCATCTAAGGAAGAACATTTTGACTCCAATTGTATTACACCAGGAACACCATTTATGTCACGTTTGGCTGTTGCTTTAAGGGGGTATATATATACTCGTTTGACGAAAGATCCAGGATGGAAGAATCTAATGGTTAGTTTACGATTTGATCAGTGTGATGTGTCATGCGATTTTGGTTGTAAATTGAGTTGCTTTACAGTTTGCATATTTATCACATTGGTTTGTAGTTATTGTGTCAGTTAAACTACCTTGAATACATAGGTTAATTTTGTGCTGTTTTATCTTTCATTTGACCATCTCATCACTTGTACATCAGTTTTTCATTGTTTCTTAATATCCTAACCATAAGATTTAATGTTACAACAGTCATTTTTCAAAAGGGTTTAGAATTTCCCTCATCAGATTATATCCGTTTTTCTATAAATTCGGGGTGGTCTCTTTCCATATAATACACTAGAGCCAACTTCATTGCTATTAAATTGATTTATGTAGAATATAGTTATAGCTTTCTGAATTCGTGCCACGACTTTATCAGACATCAACCCAATAAATATGAAGAAACTTTAAAGATTAATAAGCCCAACTACTTCGCCCTATCGGTAGCTCAGAGAGTAACATTTTGCGTCTAAGGGGAGAGGAACGCACCCTGAACATGCCTGCATTGTTGCTTGAGGTGTTCAGAAGACTGTGAATTTTGTTCCAGAATCTACCGAAGGGTGAATATTTGGTGTATATATCCATATCCAGGTCTGAATCCAGCTTGGTTTTCTCGAGTTTGCTCTTCACGAGTCCTAGTTAAGTGTTGGGTGGTTATTGAGGTCAATATTTTGGACACTATATTAGTCAGACTGGTTCGTCTATGTCTGTCAGAAGAGAATTTTTGTCCTTTCTCATAGACTGGGACGATCAGCGATCAAGACCAGTCAGACGGGATTATATCCAGCTCCCAAATTCTGGCTAAGATTTCAGTCAATCTAATATCTAAAACTGGGTCACCAACCTTAAAGATCTCATGACGTACATTGATGGCAAGGGATTCTGGAGTTGTAACTAAGTATATCTGTTAGCTTATTTGACATAAGGTTCGATATTGAAAGCTTTAGTCATGAGCAAGGGATTCCGGGTGCTGTTAAAGGTATGGTGGCAGTTGTCACTTTTCGGTTCCCTATACTGTGGTAGGATATTTCTTCTTGAGGGACCTAAAAAGGAAACAGTTAGGGGTAATCCTAAAGGCCTGAAACTGTGACCACAGAGGCCAACGGACAACTTCTTAAAACTATTTACTTACAGCCTTTTCATGTGAAACTTTCGATGTGTCAACTTTATATTTCGAAAGACTTTATCGCTGGAGATGGAAATTTGTGTGGATAATATGTGGTGTAGCATTTTAAGGTTGATCTTTTCATAACTTTCCTTTCGTTGTGAGAAGGAAGCTTCACAGCAGATGTTAGTTGTCTGAGGGAAATACTCGCTGTTACATCCTTGTACAGTCAACAGTACCGCTTCGCCCTCGGACTATAAGTTGCTGCTTTTTGTCCTACTGTCCTTCAGCCGACCCGCCCTGCATGATAAGACATGGAAGAACATGTGTTCCACCCAATAAAAGCCGATCGAGTCGTCACATTAGGCAAACCCTACCACCACGTCAAGGTGACAAATACGATCATTTTTTATTATTTTTATTTAAACACATATATATTGGTACAAAAGGGCACCAGGTACATATGCGCCACACAAAATAATGAAAGTAGGAAGAGAAGGGATGAAAAGATAAGGCGGACTGAAATGTACAACCAGAAGACTCTTTCAGTTAGGAAAGTTAGAACCATTCTTTATGTAGAAAGTAAAATAAGGTTGCAGCAGGATCGCCACTGGCTTCTATTCTGAGCCATATCTGATAACGTCTCTAGCCACTGTGTTGCACCATCTCTCGGACCCCAGCCAGGAAGTCGTGAAGGACCAACAGAAGCTAGCCCTTTGCAGCTTTCTTTCATGCCACGACACCATGTCATACACTGACCTCCTCTCCGCTTTTTTCCAACCAATCCCAGGGTCGGCAAATAATGCACGACGTGGAAGTCTCTGGGACGACATTCGTAAAACATGTCCAAGCCATCGAAGTCGATAAAGATAGGGACGACTATCGACTCATTCCAAGATGTTGGAACACTTTCTTGTTCCCAAACTTTTCCAAACAACACAGTCAATTCCTTAGTCAGAAGGTCACCACCATCTTTAAAAAGAGCCGGAGGTAAGTCATCTGGGCCCGGTGATTTGTAACGTTTCAAGAGTTGGAGTTCCTTGCGGACTTCCGCCTCGTTTGGTGGATCAGTCGTCACCGGCCATGGGGAGCAGGACACGCTGGTTGATGTTGCCGGAGCAGCAGGCCATTTGAACTGCCCTTCGAAGAATTCCGCCCATCGTCCAAGACGTCGAGAGATATTAGTGATTGGCATCCCATCATCCTCGTAGATTGTTTCACTCACACCAGACTTCTTGCTGCCAGTGGCTCGGATGAGTTGGAAGAGCTTCCGGCAGTTACCAGATGCAGCTGCTGCTTCCATCTCATTAGCACGCTCCGACCTCCAGGCTTCTCGGTCCTTACGCAAGCTTTGCCCGATTTCATTACGTAACAGCTTTCGTTTGTGGTCAAACTCACGGTCACCCGGAGTAGACCGACGGGCTTCCATCAGTTGTAAGGAGCCAGAAGAAACCCAGTGCTTGTAAGCGGGACGTTTCGCGAAGCCGCACGCGGCTTTACTCGCCATTTTCATGGCGTCGTGAAGAAGCAACCAATGCTCATCTATACTTTTCGGTGGGGTGGTAGCTAGCGTAGAGGCTAGCTCCACTCGATACTTACTTGCAACAGAAGTTGCAGCCAGTTTACTAACATCAATCCATTGGTGGTGGTCAATCCTTCGGCCACTGAAAAGTAAGGTGAGATTGGCGCAGACCAGGACATGATCAGACTCCAGATAGGTACTGCAAAAGGAGCGGCAGTCTTGTACACAACCACGCCAGCGGTAGCTGATCGCGATGTGATCAATCTGAGTCCAGGCTTGAGATGCAGAGGGAGGACGCCAGGTGGCACACCGGCGATGACTGTGCCGGAAGTTAGTGCTGGCCAGAAACAGGTTGTGGTCTGTGCGCAGTTGCAGCAAACGGTCCCCGTTATCTGACCTGCGACCAACAAGTCCCCATCGGCCACCTAAACCACTCTCTTCTGTGCCTAGACGCCCGACCTGAGCATTTAAGTCTCTGGCTAGTACTACAATATCTGTTGGATGCACTTTCTGAAGAACAGCTAACTAGTTGTAAAATTCATCCTTGATTGCATCCGAGCTGCAATCTGTCGAGGCATAGGCGATGACGAATAGACATCGTTTCTCACACCAATTTATTCTTTGATGAAACCTTCTAATTTAACAGCACATAACCGACTGTTAATGGGGATCCAATCGATTAGTGCTGCCTCAGCCCTGGCGCTTAATGTGACACCGACGCCAGTTAAAACAGACGAAGATGCCACAAGGTCCCCGGATAGGCGCACGTAAAACAAGCTTTTCGAAGCGACAGATGGACAGCGAATTTGTAGCACTTCACTAGAGTCTTGAATACGGGTCTCGGATAGACAACAAACATCAACATTAAGACCTTCCAAAGACATAGCCAGCCCTATCTGTTGTCTGATATGCATTGGTGTGCGAACATTGAAGGAAGCCAGCTTGAACGGCGTACGTGGTTTCAGAAAGACTGCTTCAGTATTCATAATCGGTGGAAGCATCCACTTTCAACCAGACAGTGACTGGAGATCGTTTAGATAGGACAGATTTTCCACCATGGGCGAGCTGCTGCATATGTTGAAAAGTAAGGTTACACAAATTGGGGATAAAAGGTGGTGAGTTAGCGATATGGTAAATAATAATAATAATAATAATAATAATAATAATAATGTAAATTGTCTTGCTTCTAGTATGAGCAGGAATAGTATCGTCAATAGAATTCATTTATTTGTGTGTGGGCTGTGATACTGCCCGGGTGCCCAAACCGAAACAGGTGGTTTTCTTAGGGGGCCACACCCCGAGCCTTTGATCAAAAGGTCTGATCCACAGGGCAGTGGAGCATCATGAGGAGATGCAGTCCCATGGTAGCCGTTGACCAATGACAGGTTCGTCCGCCATTCGTTCCATCAGGATACTGGAGCCCATGTGCACCATTGGTTTGGAATCAGGGTTTTCTAACTCCCCTAGGTGGACCCTCCGTGTCCACCAACCCGGTTAAAGCGCCGGACATTCGCTTTTCGTCCTCTCACTTTCGTAAACAACACCCCCGCCACGAGAAGGCAGTGAGTAGGACTTCCCTGGCAGAGGCTATATATTCGCTGGCCATGTGAGAGCATTTCGAGAGGGAGAGGAGACTCTCCCCACTCTCGGCTGTACCAGGGCATTTGGGGGCACAAATACGATCAATTCATTTATAAATGATTTTAGGCCAATGTCGAGTTTTGTAGGGAGATGATTTTTAGTGGTCTCTATGATCTTCAATTTCAAGTTCATTGAATTAATTAATGGTTTATATTTTATTCATTATTTTAAGGTATTCTTGAGCGACGCAAACGTTCCTGGTGAGGGTGAACATAAAATCATGGATTTTATCAGACGACAGAGGAATAATCCAACTCATGACGCCAATACGAAACATTGTTTATGTGGCGCTGACGCTGACCTTATAATGCTTGGATTAGCCACACATGAACCATATTTTACTATTATTCGTGAAGAATTTAAACCAAATCAACCAAAACCTTGTGATTTGTGCGGCCAGATGGGTCATGAGATGGAGGACTGCGTAGGTGCTCCAAAAGAAGAAGATTCAAACGAATGTCCTCCTCCACTACCATCAGGAGATGTGGTATGCTCATTCATTTAAAGATGACTTCATTCGTGTGTTTTAGTTCTACTCTAATTGTTTTTGTTACCCTTTGTTCCGTGAGTTAGTTGCTATAAAGCATCAAGCAAAAGTCAGCTCACATGTTCGCATCTATTTCAGGATGTCAGTAGAGTTTGACCTTAACATTTGTTGTTCATTATTGCCACTTAAAATTCACATTTGTTTCACTATATCGTATATAAATCAAGGGACAAGAGTTCATCATATTTTTTTCTAATAATGTCTTATAACAGCGTTCATAAAGTAGGTTTTTGTAGGTTAGTAGTAATAGTTCAACCTACTGACGATTTTTAATCACACTAATTAGCAGTGACAAATCTGTAGGGTCCTAAAATCCATCTGTTAATAATCCTCTTTTTTCAAGTCACTATTTCCATTTGGTTTCAAGTATTTAAATATAACTCTTAAACATGTATTCTTTTGAAAGCTTTACAAGATATGCAATGATTCGATCAGTAAATATATTTTTGTGATAGCTTACTGAGTTACTTCATTCTGAGTTTATTTCTCAAAATTACCTACTTCAGTGACTCTTGCAAACAAGAATCTCACAGTGGTTGAGTGCATTCAAACACTACAATCAATAAATCTTTAGATAAACAAACAAGCATTCCAGAAGCTCAATATGTTTAAAGACCCTCGTTTCTGAAGTTTTGTAGTGTCGGTTACTATGTTAAGCCTACATAACTTATTCCAGCTTCTGGATAAGCTAATTTGTTCATTCACGTTTTGACCTTGTTTGTTAGTTATTCACTTATCAACCCTGACTGTTTTTATATGAGCGTATGTGTGTGTACATCTTATCCTACTCATCACATGTCTGTAGCTTATTTTTGTGTGACTATAAATATCCATTAACACTTGGTTAAATGGAGTTGGCTCACACGCCTTCTCCACCGCGCGTCATTTCGCTTCGCGAAAATTTTGCTCATTTCCAAACTTTTCATCTATTGCATTCGTTATTTGGCGAATAAGCGGTACTATCTCGCTGCATGGTGGGCTAAATGGGACAAGGTTGTTGGGTTAAGGTGTTGGTTAACCCGGGTCTTTCAAAAACGAATGATACACCGGTCGACTAGCTTGTGTCCCATTGTTGCCTATTGTTTAGGAAGACGCCTACTTACTCGATAGTAGGCGATGTCAGCATCTCAAAGTCATTCAAAATATTCATTCAGCGTATTTTTCAGTTGAATGAAGTTAGTTGAACCAGATAAATCAGTGTCCTCTCAAAAATTGACTTTTCGGAAAGCCTGACTGTACTAACACTAATAAATAATTTCATATATTACTAGTTCTCGTTCTATGTGTATAAGCTGTTTATCACTTTATATGCAGTGGTTCCTCAAACATGACGTTTTAATGTCACTGTAAGTTGTGAGTTGTTTTAAATATAATGATTATTGTTTTCAAGGTTTCGACGCTTATCCTTGTTCGCCATAAACTTTTATATTTTTGTAGGATTTCATCTTTATTCGCTTGAATGTATTGAGACAATATCTAGCAGAAGATCTGAAGTTGGCTGGCATTACATTTGAATGGGACCTCGAACGAGTCATTGATGATTGGGTTTTTATGTGCTTTTTCGTTGGAAATGACTTCCTCCCTCATCTTCCGAGTTTGGAAATCCGCGAAGGAGCGATTGATCGTTTGATTGATATTTATAAGTCGACAGTCCAAAAAACGGGAGGGTGGTTGACTGATAGTGGACGAGTCAATTTAGAGCGTGTCCAACTTATTATGGTTGATTTGGGAAAGATGGAGGATGAGATCTTCAAAAGTCGTCGTGAATCAGAACTACAGTTTCGCAATAGAAAGCGTCAAAACTCATCTGGCAATGGTTATAACAGAAACCAACGTGGTTTCACTCCACAACGATTGGACCACCACCCATCATTTGAAGTGTCCCAATCTGGTTTTATGGAACCTATTCCCCTAAAAGGACGTCATGGAATAGCACACCCCAAAGGTCACTATACAAATCAAGTTGTTTCTGCTGATGAGTTATTAGCTGCACGACGTTATCAAGGTAGATGTCAAGAAAGTGTTAATTGGGTGGATAGAAATCTAAATAACCTTGAGGCAGCAACAGCACTGAAAGCTATGCTGAAACGCGATAAACCTATTGAAAACAGAACCTCGAATGATGTGAATAGTTTCACTGTTCTTCCGAAAATACCTCGGGTTACTTCTGATAACAACACAGGTCCAAATTGTGTTTCATCCGGTCTTAACAACAGATCAGGTAGTCATCGCGACGATGAGGATGAGATGATGGATGCTGCAGATGAAGTACGGTTTTGGGAAGATGGATGGAGATCACGATATTATCAATCTAAATTCGGAGTTGATCCGACAGATGCACCTGGATTCTGTATCAAAGTCGGTCAAGAATATGCCCTTGGTTTATGCTGGGTCTTAGCCTATTATTACCAAGGTTGTGCTTCATGGGATTGGTATTTCCCATATCATTATGCTCCATTCGCTAGTGACTTCTCCAAAATCTCAGAACTCGATGTTGACTTTTCGAAAAAAGAAACAAAACCGTTTAGACCACTGGAGCAACTTATGAGTGTGTTCCCGGCCGACTCTCGTAGTCACGTTCCTCCAGCGTGGCAGGACTTAATGACCGACCCCGATTCTCCTATAATTGATTTTTACCCAACAGACTTCAAAATAGACTTGAATGGCAAACGATATCTGTGGATGGGTGTAGCTTTGTTACCATTTGTTGACGAGGTTCGTTTGTTGAAGGCCCTGGATGCCCGAAGAAATCTTCTAACAAAAGAAGAAATCGAAAGAAATGTTCGTGGTTCAGATCAGTTGTTTTGTAGAGCTGATCATCCTGCTGGTCCATTGTTGCATTCCCTATACAAAGTATCAACTGAAAAGGCGGAGAAAGATGATTCGGAAGAACATATCATACCATCTTGGGCGTCTGCAATTGACCCACGTGTTACGTTTGGAATCAGTGGTTTAATCTGGCCTAACAAAACGGCTTACTTACCTGGGAGTCGTGTACCTAGTGCAGTCCCAGGTCATGTTCCTGATTTGAAGGTCTCTGAAGCTGTATCAATATATTTTTCAGATCCCCAATATCCAAAGGGCTTCGTCTTTCCTTCCAAGTTACTTGAATCCGTAAGTTTCTATATGTTGTTATGCTGGAGTTTTTCGACAACCTTCTATTCCTTAAAGTCAATTGTCGTCCCCATGTGACACAAATTTGTATAGTAGACTGTTTTACGTCCTTTTTTCCCAATTTTTTTCTCTTTCGTATGTAGCGCAACTGTAGAACAGGTGAAAAACAGATTTAAGCAAGTTATCAAGGCTGAATGTTCATGAATTCAAAAATACTTTTGTAGTGTATATTATAAAGTGTAATTCTGTTTATTTTATCCCATAGCGTTTTTACGAAATCAGTGGGGCCAAAGCGATCACTCCCTAAAAGAGACTTTTTAAACATTCGTAAACCGAATAAACGATTAGGCTATTGGGGTGCGACTGTAAATCGTTGTGAGTAAAAGTAGCCAGGAACATGAAGCAATCAATAAGTATTGTCTTAGTGACTACTTTGAAAATTGATTTTCAAAATAAAACTAGTCAAAAATATGGATCATGAAGTCCTAATCCATTGTATTCATTGTAACACACTCGATTCGAGGTTTGATGATCCATAATACAGATATTTTTACGGTTTCGAGAGATCATACACAGTATGTGTAGTTCACAACATAGCGCATGAATTTGAACTTATAAAGTATAAAATAAAGTATTTAGACGTGTAAAGTATTATATTGTCAATATAGTACTGTTCACATCCACGTTTTTAAAAGTTGATACATCTCGAAACAGCTCAGTCAATGTAAATAGAAATTTATTAAAATGAATAAGATTATATGGTTCGGGAAGGTAAAACAATCGGCTGAAAACAAAATGTTTAAAACTTAGGAGACGAAAGGTAAAAAGTAAATGGTTTTACTTAATTAAGTTTGGTTTCAAGCCATATCATCTAAGCCTCCAAATGCCCTGGTACGGCCGAGAGTGGGGAGAGTCAGCTCTCCCTCTTGAAGTGCTCTCACATGGCCACGTGCATGCAACCACTGCCAGAGAAGTTCACTCACTGCCTTCTCTCGGCGGGCATGTTGTTTACGAAAAGCGAATGTCTAGCGCTTTAACTGGGTTGGCGGATACGGAGGATCCACCTGGAAGAGTTTGAAAACCCTGATTTCAAACCCATGGGCTCCAGGATCCTGTTGGTCACTACCTACAATGGGACTGCATCTTACGTTGCCCCACTGCCTTGTGGATTAGACCTTCTGGTGAAAGGCTCCGGATGTGGCCTCTTAAGAAAACCACCTGCTTCGGTTTGGGCAAACGGGCAGTATCCCAGCCTGCACATAAATGGTTTATGTAGCGCAGATTTATTTGATGCCTCCTTGTACCAATGTTTGTGTTTAAATAAAATAAATGTCATCTATGGTCTCCAGTTACAGACTCTCGCCTTTGTAAGGGTCTCAGTGTTTGGCGGGACTACAGTTCTCAAGCCTTGGAATTCCTGTAAATCATAAAAGTGTTTTAGCAATCAGGTAAACCACTCGTTTCTTTTGGGATCATCAAAAGTAGATTTCTAACCTTTTTATGGCAAATAGTTGTAAAGATTAACAACTGAGAATAGTTTACGGAAACTTTTTCTAGATGTTATACTCTAGTTTAAATACTGATTTCGTTCTGAACTTACATGTGGCTTACAAGACTCATCATATTTTCAATTTTATTTTTTAAAATATCATTTACCAAACTTGTGATGAGTAAATAAAGTTTTTTCTGCTTCTTAAAGGTTAAAATGCCCCCACCAGTTTATCTTCAACCTCCTCAGCGTGGCAGAGGAAGAGGACGAGGAAGTTTTCGCACTGATGAACATCGTGGACGTTTTAATGCCAATGCAGCTATGCAGTACTATGCTCGAGACAGTTCGACAGATAGGGAGAATACCGGTAGAGATGTTTATTCAAATTCACCGATGAACAGAATGGTTATGAATTCATTACCGCGATATCAGCGCAGTCGAGGTGGCCACTCACAGTATTCATCTAGATCAGATTGTGGCAAAATAAGTAACATCCCTTCAAATTGGCGACCTGGGTCTTTTAATCGTCATCCTCCTCAAAATGATGCTTATCATCGAGACGGACCTGCCTATCGTCAATCTAGTAGTCATGCATACGCTAATCCGTATTCTGTACATCCTCCAAACTTCAGTACAGGTCTTTCCAATTCAGTCGTTAGGAATAACCGCCCACCGTGGTTGCTTCCAAATGGTAGAGGTTAATCAAAGCTTTTACTACTTTGTCTCATGTTCATACTACCTTCTTCCTGCATTTTTATCTTTTATTATTATAACACAATAGTAGTTGTATATGATGTAGGAATTATTTTGCGCCTGAACAACATGAATAATAAATTTTTACTCCATTCTGCGCCCCTTCTATTTACATCAACATGTATACTAGTAACAGAAAACTTTGATATGGCAATTTGTATAGTGAATATCACTGATCATTTGTCAAACTTTATTTAACAGCTGAGTAGTGTAGTGACATTAAATTATGAAAGACTAATATGATCTTTCCAAATTTCAGTTGTTAATATAAACAATTGATATTCTGTTCCAAAGACTTTTATTAATTTCCTCATTCTTAGTGAATTTTTAAACCGTGATTGTTACGTACTGAACAATTGGTGCTCACATGAGATTCGTTTGAACTCCACTGGTCATGGTTTCTCACCAGAATTATCTCTCGAAATCAGTCACTAGTGAGCACATGGTTTTAGTTCTAAATGGATCTATGAACTTCTTGATTATGTTGCTCCTTCTTAAACGGAAATCCGAGTTGTGGTTCGGAGATATTGTATGTGTATGGAAGGTTTTCTAGAAACCTTTTCTTTGGCGTAATGAAGTGTAGTTCATTTTTATATATATCAATGCAGTACATTTTGGACTAACCACACATTAACTTGTTAAGAGGGTCAACCTTGACAAACTGGATCCTAAGTGTAATAAGGAGAAGGCGAAAGCACATTGCTGGGGCAGATTTAATGTAAGTACAATGGGTGGGGCTGATTTTTCTCATGGTTTACCTTACTCCCTGTTTCAACGTTATATTGGGCAATAAAGGAAGATGAGTGTTTGTTATCTGCTTTTATTAGGTCATTGGGATTTGTTCGCTTACGTAAACACTTTAACATGTGTTTAGCTACTCCTTTAAGCTACCGCTGCACCTTTAAGTGTATGCGCCCGAAAACACAAGTATTGGGATGTGACTCATTTTTTCACAATTTACTAGGGTTTTCAGTGACTTCGGTTATTTGGTAGTAATGACCATAATTAAACAGCAAGTCCTATGGATAGCCTGTTTAATTGTTCTTTTACATACATAGCTACACGATTCACCCATCAATGGCAATAGCTGAGTCATTGATATTAGATAAAAGGATTATTATAATTGCTATTAAATATGAAAATGATCTCGGAAACTAACTGTGGGTCAAATGAAGAAGTTATGGAAATCAACAATTATTGGATAAAAGTGTTTGCATACTAATTTTCGACTACTCAATGTCACAATTCTAGAACTCATGTGGAATCAACCTGGAACCTTCAATTTTCATATGTGAACAACTTATTCTGTGATATCTAAATTTAGGGATTGGAATGATGGTGATTTAAATAGATAAAAAAATATATCTATGTGCTCGTTCACTTCTCTCTACCTTAATGTTTGTCATTAACTTGTGTAACCATATAATAACTTTAAAACGGAATGATATTTTCATCCTTTCCAAGTGTAATTGTAAAATGAGTTAGTTTGTGTAACATCGTCATGTCAACACGTTGAAAATCCAGCAACTTCTCGTATTCATCAAAATAAATAGTCAATTAGTAATAAATATACCTTTTGTTATATTCCAATGAGAAAACAGGTTTATCTCTGACGTTTCGTGACTTAATGTAAGCGACTTCTTTAGAGTAAATGAACCACCGAATTAAATTAACACAAGTTTAAATAGTACTATATTCTGTACTCACCTTCTACCCAATGCTCAATTTACTGAAAATATCAAGTTCAACCTTGGCATTGATACCTATAAATAGTCAGTTATTAGAATAAATAAATAACATCACATGATTACTTAGCGATAACCAGCCTACAAACAGAAATAACTTTCTCAAATACATATTTAATTCATCTACAAAAATCGTTTCTTGATTCCCAATCAGTCACTTAAGTATCGAATTGTATCTTTATTGAGTTGACAGAAGTCACTTGATTCATATGCTAACAGTTTATTAGAAATTATTGTAATATGAAGTTGAATGCATTAAAATTGATTTTCTATGTAAATGAATAAATTTGTGATTCAAAGTCGGTCTTTTTAATTCCTATCTTTTTCAACAAATTGCATGAAGTTTATATATTTATTAAATATACCTGACATAAAAGATATTTATAACTAAATGAAGACGACTCCGCCTGCACCTCCTCCGGGGGCTACTGCCGGTCCCAAGCACGGGTAAAGGAGGAGGGTTGGGCATGGGGTTAGTGACCCCATCCCGTAGAAAACCAACTCGCTAAAAAACGCTAACCAGAAAAAAGTAAGAATACGTGTTGATACGTAGACTCCAGTAAATTTGCTTCATTGTTTGAAGAGTCTTCGAAAACTTTAAAAGTATTAAGGTAAATGGGGTAGCGTCTAGTGTAGCTTTAATTGAAGCATTTTCAATTGGTTTTAGACGCCGTCCTACTTAATTAAGTTTACACAACCGATTAGCACTATTAACTCAGATAAGTCAAAAAAGTGTGGCTTAAAGTTGAAATCCCTAATCAATATTCGATTACCAGGTTACACTACTGTTAATCAACTTGACTGCATAGATTGGTACGATAATGAAGAACAAGTTGGATTGAATAGCGCAAATAAAATCACTGTACATTGTTTCTTACAGTAAGAAAGGAACTTCAGAAAATAACACTGTCTGTAACTCTGAAGAACTGTTAGTTAATCAAAGTACAACTCTTTGTATGCATTCAAAATTCATCTTGCAATACACTAGTAAAATGGACATATAGTACAAATTGTTGAGTTTAAAAACAGTGAATTATCTAGTTGGATTGTTCAGACTATGTAGCAGCATAAATGAAGCACACAAACGGAAAATACCAATCTCTCGACTAACACAACAGTGTTTAAGTTTCAACAATCTACTTGCTAATACATGGAAATATTTAATAGCTGTCAAAATAGTGAGATTATAATTTATGGACGAACCAATCAGATTCGGGATAATAGGTCTAGGATTGATGCTCGAAATTCATTCACCTATTCGTCTAAATAGCGTTTTGGCATTTTAGCTTATGTCAGTTCGTGATGAAAATCCTAAATCTAATTCCTAACCCTAACCATCAACTGTATGTCGTAATCTTTGTCCTTCACACAGGTTTACAACCGTCATTTAGCCCTAGTAAATTGGCGGACATTCTCAAGGTCACTATAGAGTCGCTCAAAGGTCGTCCATAAATTATAGTTTCACCAATATTTTTTATATTAAAACGTCTGTGTTTACATGTGGTCCCATATCTATGGTGTAGATGGGGTCGAGTCACGATTGACTATGATCCCCACTACATGAAGATTATGTGCCAGGTATCGACGTGGATCCCTCGGTAGGCCAAAAACCAGAAGGCTGTTATTGGTTAAAATAAGATATATTTGTTTGCGATCTCGTGGTATCGAAAGTATACCGAGACGTGCTAGAGATTACGGTTGGAACTGCCGAGCCTCAGCAAGTTCGTGCAAAGTCACAGGCAACGGAAGGAAAACTCTTTGGTACAGTTAAACAATCAAGTACAGCAAAACAATCACTGGTATAGTTGGTTATAATAATAGTTGTTTCCATTATACCAATCGCGTTCTCGTCACAAAAGTAGGTCACTACAATGGTATTCGTTTTAACTGAGTGAATTCTTGCAGTACGTAAGTCACGTTTGGATTGAATGGGGAGTTTGTAAAAAAGTTCAGATAGTTTTCATTTCTAAACAAATCTCCACCTGCAGATAATTTTCCAGTCAACTATGAAGCATGGACAATTATAATCGTATTAATAAACGTTGCCAGTTTCAAATTGTCACTTTTTAGGCTATTCTTTCCAGTATCACGAGTTTTTAAATCACTATTCTAGTCATCAAAATAAATATTAGTGTATTTCACGTTAAATAACTTCCTTTAGAATAATTATGGGATATAACACACTGCTAGCCACTATTCATTTTTGCTTATAATGCTTGTGAATTAAGTCAATATCGAGGCAATACGCACAGTATGCACATATGCCAATAAGAGACTGACCAGTTGCAGTCCTAAGCATCAATGGGAAGATTCAAACAAACAATACTTAGTGAATTCTATAAATTTTGAGTTTCTAGAACCAAAGAACAAAACACTAAATCACTGTAAGATAGATACCAAAAGCTGAAGATGGTGATTTAAAATAAATTAACTATGGTGCTCGGGCAGAACAAATATAACTGTCCTCGGCGCTCCTTTCCAGTTGTTCGCATGTCCTATTCATTCTTTCATGTCTGCCTTCAGTTCCCAGTTCAATATGTTCTTTGATACTCCTCTTTTCCTTTCGCCTTCAGGATTCCAAGTTAGTATTCACCTTGTGATTCATTTTGGTGATTTCCTCCATTTATATCCTACTCATCTCCAGCATCTTTTCCTATCTTCCTCTTCAGCTGGTATGTTGCTGATGGTATCCGCCAACGTGAACCATGTATTTTACACAGACCATTGTTTACAAATGCCTGTACCTTGTTGATGATGGTTGTCGTAGTTCTCTAAGTTTCAACTCAGTTTGTATTGAAGACCCTGAATTTTGTGTTGACTGATAGTTGTTTTGAGTTGCAGATGTTCTTCAGTTATAGGAATGTTGATCTTGTTTAGGTGCTCTATATGGTATGCTGCTTCTCAACTTTTGTCTGATGGCCTCACTGATTTCTTCCATTGCTAGTGGGGTAAAATCTGTGGGAAGTGCTTTGCTCGAGGACACCCCACTCAACAAGGTAGCGTGACGATTTATTCCACGCTTTATTTCAGAAATTCCCCAAACTAACTAAACACTTTGGGGAGAACAAAGTTGAAACTTCTATTCCCCTAACTTGACAACCTATAGTTATACTAGAGGTTATTTTTGGCCGTCATCCTATATATATAGACGTATTTAAAACAACTGACTTTTATATTGGCCCATTCCTAACGTTGCTAACCCACCTGCAGCCTCTCTAGGGTAACCGCGAGTCCCAGGCGCATATAACGGAGGAGGGGTGAGCATGGGTTCGCCAACCCCATTTTTACGGCCGAATTTTCCTTCTCTTCCGTTATTGAAACACAGTATGTCTATCTGCTTATAACTTATGAACTCAAAAAGACAATAGAACCAAACTTCAATTCGGGCATCAAAAGTTGTTCGCAAACAACAGATAATCGGCCTTAATATCTTTCTACTAACAATTATAACAATTACGAAACAAAACTTCGATTTTTCAGGTTCCCTCAGCAGAAACTTCCAAATACCAAAGCAAAGAAAAAGAGAAACCGAAATGTCCGAAGACATAGACATAAACAAACAGGTCTGAAAGTTGAGTGGAACAAACATATCCAAAAACAGTGGAATTAATAATATCCAATGTGACAGTTTCTAACCAGTAAAATATCTTCACTGTTTCTGTAACACCCATCCCGTAGAAAAAAGCATTGCCAGAACCCCGCTAAGCAATAAATATCATTTACCCCATTTAAAGTCTGTCCTGGTATTTGAATAATCTTCATTTGGAAAAGCTAAGACGTCTCATAGTTAGATCCGGAATTCCCCGGATATCACGAGTTCTATTCTGACAATCGGAGCGACAACTGGCATAAGTACATAAAATGTGTGCACGGTGTGGAAGACTAGGAGGAAATGTAAATATTGAACCTTAAGGAGCCCGATAAATGTGAAACTAATCAGACAAAAGTTAGACAGAAAAAACTATTCTCGGAAGATATAACATTGCACTCTGGCCATGAAGAATAAGAACTGTCAAACAATCATGGAGCTGCAATAATGCTGTCCAAAGAATTACGTAAAACACTTGTGGGATGAGAACCGCATCAGTCCAAAATAACTAAAACAAAGAAGGCAGGCATCACAGTGAATGTTATCCAGTGCTAAGCACTCACCAATTAAGGCTAAGAAAAAGATAAATATGTTTCGTGAGAGGCTAAAGTCGATCGTTAAAAGATATCCATCATGGTAATTGATCATCCTGATGGGAGACATAAACGCCAAGTTCGGAGTGGACAAAACCGTGTATGAAGACATAATGGGACGAAATGAACCGGGAAAAAGGAGTGACAGTGGTGAGAAATTAAGAAACATGTGTATCCTCAAGAAAGCGGTTATTGGTTGTACCGAACTCCCACATAAACTCATGTATAAAACCACGTGAAATTCACTGGTCTCCGCTGATCAGAACAGGATCGATCACATATGTTTAAATAAAAGGCTCAGAAGGATCATGGAAACCGTGAGGACAAATGTTGCTATATTCGAACGGACATTAAAGGAGTAGTGAATGCCGGAATTACATGTAAACCATTATTGCGTGTATCCTGGTTACATAACTATTGAATAACTAGATTGTTATATCTATGTACTGCTTTTATCATGAGCTTTAGATCAAGCCACTAATTATTGCTACATGACTTACCATCCTTATTCTATTGCCAGTTTGTCATTCACAGCAACTCCCACTCCCAGCCACTTTTTGGCTTTATCATATATATCGTTTCTTTCACTTTATGATGTGGTGTGGTCGAGTATGTTTGGATATAAAATACATAAGATTGGAATATAACATCCATATATTGAAGTCAGATTACCATGTTTTGGACTCAACGAATGGGGCAGGGAGGGAAGTTACCGAATTGAGGACCAATAAGAACTTAGGCGTGACTCAAAGCCACTAGTGCTGTCTGGCTAATAATTTCCTCATGTGACATTGGTGGGTGGCCATATGTAACAGCTGAGGGGAGCTTGTAGATGGGTGTGGAGTCGCGATTGACTATGATCACCACTACAATGAGGTTACGTGCGAGATAACGACTTGTATCCCTCGATCGGCTTAAAACAAGAAGGCTGTTACTGGCACAAATAAGATATATTTATTGGCGATCTCGTGGTAACGTGCCAAAGATTACAGGCGAAATGGCAAAGCGTAAAACGGAACGAAAAGTGTATTTTGTTCAGTTAAACAAGAAAATACAGTAGAACAATCGCTGGTTATAATAATTGTTTTCATTATACCGATCGTGTTCTCGTCATGAAAAGTAGGTCACTACAAGCTGATGTATCTTCACATTGATGCTTAGGACTACAACTGGTCAGTCTCTTATTGGCAAATGTACATACAATGCGTATTGCCCTAAATCACAAGCGTTATAAACAAAGATGGATAGTGGCTAGCAGTGGAATCCAGGACGCGCGCTTCGTCCTATTTAAGACTCGTCAGCTGTGCGTACCTGCATTTCAGGGTTGATCTTCCCATTTTGTGATATAATAAATAAGCGGGTTCATTGAGATGCATTATCACCATACACTTTTCCCATAATATAATCTGAAATAGACTGTTCACTTCCCATTGACATTTGTTCCGTGTAGATTCGACTGGAATATATTTAAAATTTGTGATTCTTCTTTAACAACTCGGGGTAAAATAAGTAGCCTTGAATTAATAGTACACTACTACATTAGAAATGTAATGTATTCTGGATTCATATAAGCCCATAGTCTTTTATTTAGCAACAGTTAAAATCAAAATTCATGCAAATAATTTGTTTTTATAATATTGGTAAAGTATTTCAACTTGGCATACTAAAACTTTAGAAGTTCCCTTTTCAAATCAGAGATTTTCCTATTAAAGAATCAGTTGACAATTGTATTGTAATTTCGATTTCACTGAGTTATTGTCTACTGACATTGAAGTAAGTGAATGTAATATGAAAAGTCTATTTAGAATTATTAATAGTCTCCATTACGACCCTTTAATTCTACAAATGGATAGAGTTAAAAATAAACATATGAATATATTTAAGTCAGAAGTTAGTGTTGTATTACTACATGCACGTAACTCTATACACACATATATTTATCCTGACGAAAGAAGAATAGTTTTCTAAATAGCCGTATGTAAACAACGAAGTCTGAAACAAAAGGCTTCAAGTGAGAAACGAAAAAGGAGATTACAATATAGATCATCCAGTGATATTCAGATCGATCATATTTGAATCACTAAAAAATTCAGACGGTCAATGGGAGATGTGAGACTCAGGAGAGGAGCTGACATAGCATCAAATCACCATCTGGTAGTGGCCAAGATGAAATTGAAGTTTAAGAAGCACTGTACAACTGGATAAACACCATTACAAAAGCTTAGTACAGCCTCCATTCGGGACAATGAAACACTCGATGAAATTATAATGAATCTCAGCAACAGATTCCAAGCCTTACAAGATCTCCTCAAGGAAGAAGAAACTACAATGTAGAACAAATGGAGAAGGATTAAAGAAACAATAACCCCAACATGCTGGGATTTGGCTGATCACAAGAAGCACCTGCAAAAAAATGGTTCTCTATTCAAACCTTGAACATGGTTCAAGAGAAGAAATACGAGATGACGTCGATCAGCAACAGTCGAACAAAATATAAGCAATCAGAGCGACCAGTCAAGAACACAGAAGGCGACCTAATAACGGAGATTCAAGAACAGCGGAGCATATGAGTAGAACACTTTGAAAAGGTCTTAGGTGGACCAGCCACACTGAACCTGCTGGACATCAAGCAGCACACAAAGAACTTCCCACAGATTTTACCCCACTAGCAATGGAAGAAATCAGTGAGGCCATCAGACAAAAGTTGAGAAGCAGCATACCATATAGAGCACCTAAACAAGATCAACATTCCTATAACTGAAGAACATCTGCAACTCAAAACAACTATCAGTCAACACAAAATTCAGGGTCTTCAATACAAACTGAGTTGAAACTTAGAGAACTACGACAACCATCATCAACAAGGTACAGGCATTTGTAAACAATGGTCTGTGTAAAATACATGGTTCACGTTGGCGGATACCATCAGCAACATACCAGCTGAAGAGGAAGATAGGAAAAGATGCTGGAGATGAGTAGGATATAAATGGAGGAAATCACCAAAATGCATCACAAGGTGAATACTAACTTGGAATCCTGAAGGCGAAAGGAAAAGAGGAGTATCAAAGAACATATTGAACTGGGAACTGAAGGCAGACATGAAAGAATGAATAGGACATGCGAACAACTGGAAAGGAGCGCCGAGGACAGTTATATTTGTTCTGCCCGAGCACCATAGTTAATTTATTTTAAATCACCATCTTCAGCTTTTGGTATCTATCTTACAGTGATTTAGTGTTTTGTTCTTTGGTTCTAGAAACTCAAAATTTATAGAATTCACTAAGTATTGTTTGTTTGAATCTTCCCATTGATGCTTAGGACTGCAACTGGTCAGTCTCTTATTGGCATATGTGCATACTGTGCGTATTGCCTCGATATTGACTTAATTCACAAGCATTATAAGCAAAGATAGATAGTGGATAGCAGTAGAATCCAGGACGCGCGTTTCGTCACATTTAAGACTCATCAGCTGGATGTACCTACATCTCAGAGTTGATGTTCACTTTTTCAGGTTCTTCTGCTTTTCCATTCTGCATTTGTCTGATGATCGGCCATCTTTATTTCTTCGATCGTTGGTGGAGTGACATTTATAGGTAGTTTTGTGTGTGCTGCTTCGATGTCCGGTGGATTGAATGAGGTTAATCTATTCAGCACTTCCCCGAAGTGTTCTACTTATCTTTTCCTCTGTCCTGGAATCTCGGTGGTTGTCTTTCCTTCTATGTATTTGACTGGTTTGCTATATCTCCCAGTTTCTTTGTGGTATCATATAGTTGTTTCATATTCCCTTCTCTTGCAGCTTTTTCCGCAGTTGTTGCTAGTTCTCCCATTAATTTCTACTTGTCGGTTTTAATTCTTTTCTTCACTTCCTTATTTGCTTCTGCGTAGTCTGCTTGTGCTTTGACTTTCTCTGCTCGTGTTCGACAGTGAGACCCTTTCCTGTGCACTTCGCTATGATCGATTGCTTCCTCTCGCAAAACTGATCGTCATAGTCGCCGTCGATGTGCATAACTATAGAATAACTAGTTTATTATATCTATGTACTGCTTTTATCATGAGCTTTAGGTCAAGCCACTAATTATTGCTACATGACTTACCATCCTTATTCTATTGCCAGTTTGTCATTCACAGCAACTCCCACTCCCAGCCACTTTTTGGCTTTATCATATATATCGTTTCTTTCACTTTATGATGTGATGTGGTCGAGTATGTCTGGATATAAAATACATAAAATTGGAATATAACATCCATATATTGAAGGCAGATTACCATGTTTTGGACTCAACGAATGGGGCAGGGAGGGAAGTTACCGAATTGAGGACCAATAAGAACTTAGGCGTGACTCAAAGCCACTAGTGCTGGTTGGCGTGTCACTAAATAACTGAATGGCGAATTCATAGAAATCGATATTTTGACTAGTAATTTTCTCATGTGACATTGATGGGTGGCCATATGTAACAACAGAGGGGAGCTGATGGATCTTCAGATCCCCATCTGGTAGTGGCCAAAATGAAATTGAAGCTTAAGAAGCACTGAACAACTGGATAAACATCATCAGATCCACTCAGGTAGCTACCTACTATTATGGTGAAACTAATTAATTGTTAACGAAACACAGTTTCTCCCCCGTTAAAAAGTGTTTTTTTTTCAAATGTATCAATTGATGATCTTAACACATTGGAAATAGGAATCGAAATTAAAAAAAATAGGTTAGCTGATGGAAAAAAGCTTAAAGCAGTGTGTCTATATGTTTGCACACTGATTATCACGTAAATCGTTTTACAGAATAAGGTATTAAAATGTTTTTTACTGAAAGTATAGATAAAATCAATTTTGTACGATGAATAAGATATATAAAAAAAATCCCGAAAGCTTTATAAACGATTAGAAATCAAAGATGAAGAATTGATCAACAAAAGTTGGAACAATAACTTTCAGCAGAGAATCTTTCTGTAAAATCTGATGGAAGTACGTATGCAGAACAATGGTAAATTGTTTGATAATACTGGTCATAATAAACGAATCATTAAATAAATATCTCAAAAAATAACCTGTGAAACAAATGAATTTCTATGTAAGAATACATTCTATTGCAGCAATGAAGCTAACAGCTCAATCCGTTCGTGAACTCGACGTAAATAAGTTTGAGTTTCAACAATCATCAGTAAAAGTTCTTTACTATCAGTGGAGTCAAGACTAATATCAGTTGATAATGGAGGACTTAATCGAAAGAATGGTACTCCAAGTGAACCACACCATGCACTAGCACGATCAACAACCCGACCTAAAATGTTAAAAATTACAAAATAAATTTTTCATATGAAATGTTTATTTAGTAAATAATACAGAAACACAGTCAAACTGTGGTGTAGTCTACTTATATCAACATAAGTAGTATATGGTGACAGTCAGACATAGAATGTATTTTGGTAGAAGATCGAGAAGGAAAGAGCAGGAATTAAGCGCAATCGGTACGAAAATGCATGAACAATGAAATCAGGGAAGACGGACTGATATTTGCATAAGAAACAGTTAAGATTGAGACAATTGATTGTTATTTTGCACATTAACTGTTTACTGTATGGTTATCAGAATTTAGTGAGATAGGCTGTAATTTGTGCTGAAATACATTCGATTGTCTCCATTCGTGGTCTTGTTCACTACAAAACTACGCAAATTGATGTATTTAACTAGATGGAGAGAACTACCAGTTAGTTTAAAGATATGTGAAGATACTACAATCTTCATTTTCTTCCAACCATACCCATGAATAAGTTTCTTAGAAAGTCGCAAATGAATTGAAAATCCTGAACCAGTAAATGAAAGATAATGCAAATGAGCTTTTAAACATTTTGAGACACAAGATTTATTTCTTGAAAACTAGTCAAAGGAATAATAAGACAATAATCATACTTTTCAATGGCTCTTTTTTGTTATTATGAAAAAGACAGTAATTAACAGGTATTAATAATTATCATTAATAAGAAACATTTATAGTTTAGGGTCAAAATGAAATTTATTTGACTCTTCTTCAGCCATGATATTTAATTATGGATATTTCACTATACAGCTAAATGGCTTCATCAACAACCAGTTAGCAATCGTCACAAAGCTACTGTCTGGTAAATTGCTAACCGAGTAAGTGGTAGAGAGTGGACTCGTATAGCCCTGTGGTATACATACCCTCTTGTGAAGTAGGTGGAACAGATTTAGAACGTGTGGTTTATTGATTAAACCCTTAGACAACCGAATTACACATCTAAAACTGTCACTCGCTATTTTTTGCCTACCCTTTTATGGATGGCTTGTTTGTGTCGCTTTTTGTTTTGAGGCACCATTATTTACAGTTAATTAACTGTATTAGAGTTACTAGTTTCACATGAAATTTAATTTTTTTTTAAAGCTATCGAACAACTCACCATCTGACATGGTTGCAATTTCGACTAGAATACGACCAAGAAATCCGAAACCACGTACAGATCGATATGTTTCCATAATATTTTGTGGACGAAATACATCTACTGTCTCTACAGGCATTACAGGTAACCGTCCAGTCCCAAGAGAAACAACCGCTGCTATAGGAGTTATAGGTTTATTCTAAAATGTCAAAGAAGTATTACTTTAAAATACATGATAATTAGTGCAATTACTGAACGTTTTGAGTGGTAAAAACAACCTACACTTTTAGTTTCAGCAGTTATAGTGTGGATTATATGTTGTAATTGCTAAACTGTTCAAGCTGAACAAACGTCTTAGTTAGTTCATATAGTTGTATCCTTTGGATAGTCTTGGAAGCCGACCGGAAAGGGTTTAAACACCGTGGGGAGTTTCAGCTCCCTTAAGACTGCAGTCAGGGCTTGTTGACAAATTTCAACTGGCACAAAACCTAAGTATAAAATTGCTAACTGATTACCTTACACTGCCTAACGATATTCACAAATACTTTGAACTTTCATAGTAATATACAGAAATAATTTCTTTATAAAATATGGTACCTGTAATCTTTTCAACAAACACACAAACAAATTCGAAAAACTTAACATATTATAGTCTATTGATCACTATTAATGATAAATGCCACGTGATATAAACCCTGTTAGTAATAACTTCCTACAGATTCTACAGCGAGGTGAAATGTTCTACAGACGAAGTTCTAACCATGGATGCTTCTAAACTGCTGAATACAATAACCTAAATATCACGTTCAAGTAAAAACGGACTCTTGGATATCGGTGGCAGTAAGCTCGTACGTGTATCAAAATAATTTCGATGCGCGAAAAGGGACAAATCCCAAACCTAGTATTTTATGAAGTATGCTCCTAAGAAGTTCCAATAAGGCATCTAATGTTCGTCGATCGTAAGATTTTAGAAATTCTGGTCATTTACACATTTCCATTATAACTGTTACACACTAAGGTTTTTTTCACTGTTTATAAAATTATATAATTAGCCATAAAATTAGTTAAAGGATGGATGAGTAACCTCTGAATTCCACATCTTAACTAATAGTTCATTTAATTACATTAATAATCAGTAAAACGAAATTCGATAGCTCATGAAAGCAGAACTTTAGCACTCATCCTTCTTCCAATTTGGAGTTCAGTGGAGAACCAATTTTTACGTCGATTGACTACTATGGTTTATACAGAGTCTTGTTAACCCACCTACCCTAACTTACGATAGTAAACCTATCCATCTCTTCGTCTCTTAACAATCACTACTCGCTATATATAAGTACATCAATTCGTCATCGCATTTAGAGTTGAGTAACCCAACTAAATGCAGCGAAGCTATTCTAACCTACAAATATAGATTACTTTTTCATTTGACAAAACATTTCAATATTTATCTTTGACTAGGAGAAAGTTCAGGATAATCATAAAGAAACAAACCATCGGTCGATAAAGCTCAATACTGAGATACTCAAACGATGTCAAACATTTTGGATATGAGTTAAAGAAATGACAAGTCGGGATAAAAAGACGATTTCACGTCTCCCCTTACACAGTGCAACATTATTTCAGGTTAATCTGTTTCATAATCATTAAGTGCCACCTTTGATCAATATGATAGGTGTGAACATCCTCCCAGTGTGATAGTTATATTCTTCGTATCATTCTGTATGAATTTCATATATGTGTTACAGTAACCTTCTGCATATTTTCATTTATATGATGTTTACTAACGATTCATCAAGTGTGTGTAAAATCAGTGTATAAATGAATGTATTTGGTTTAGTGATGAGGTGATCTTAGATGGATTGTGTGGAAGACATGTTTTTGGAGAGTCAATAAATTTCACTCGTACCAGTCCTTATGTTATCAATTTGTGTTATGGGGATCGCAATGATTCCCCGTTTCCGAGTATAAGCAGTAAGACAGTGGGTATTACGGACGCAACACAAGAAATAACAAGAAATAGCCAAAATTAATGATTAAGAAACCCATGTATGATAACTATTAATTGAACATTTTAATTCAATTTAAAACGTTGAAAACAAAAAGTTGAGTGAACGGATCTCTTTTAAGCGAATTTATTATCAAGTAACACGATCTTATATATTTATTAAATTTGAAGTAGCATATACTACATTCGTCAATATCTTGATCTCAATAACATAAATGTAGACTTTCCGACTAACTACTTGAAAGAGCTCTTGTTACGTCATACCTTTAATGTCCAGTTTAGTTTTAACAAAAATCATATAGACAAAGAGTTGGCACCGCAACTGGGTCCTCACTGGCCTCAATCATAGCAGACTGTTTCATATATATATATAATCGATTGACGGCCGAACTAAGTTGTACAACTAGATAACAAATTCACTGAAAAGGGATCCCTTCGCTGAACTTCTTGTTTTGAATTTTAATTCGAAGTATCACAAGTATAGACTTATTGATGTGTAGCTTGTCTTGCTCTTCTACTTTTTTTAAATTTCTTTCTGTTTTTCATTACTGGATTATGTTAACAGGCTATTAGACCAGTGTCATAATTGTTATTGTCTGGGTAATGTCATATATTCTCATTACAGCATATGTATGACTTGATATTCTGTAATTTATAAAAAATTCCACATATTTAAATGAATGACTGACTTTTAAACGTTGTAAAAGTTGCAATTCTTGAATTTCTGTTAAAACATCTAATGTTGGATTATTTGAAATTAATCCACCATCCAAAAAACGCCCACAAGGTCTAAAATATGTCGGTGCAGCGCTTGAAGCCCGAGCAGCTTTCCAAATTGGCTAAATAATAATAAAAGTAATAAGTGTATTAAAATTGAAACTGTAAGAAGTATTATTAGTGTTTTGTGAAATTATTCAACAAATAAGTAATAATATCTGGACAATAGATAATAAAGCATAAAACTGGTCAACAATAGTGATCAGTTAAAGGAGTTCAAAATCGTTTAAATCAAAATTAAATGTTTATGAAAAAAACTGGTTCTTAAGTGAAGTATAAATGTATGCATAAGAATTCAATTTAGGATGTAATGTAGCTATTCAAACCTGAAAAGTCTTCAGAAAACTAACAGAACATGAGACAAATAATATTAATTAACGGAAATAGCTATTTATAATACTGTTATATGAACTGAACTTTTAATCACTATTTATCGAAATACTAGGGATATTGCTCAGTTTCCTAAACCGGAGGTGATAAAATGGGAATTTGAACCTATGACCTACTGGTTTAAAGCTAAATGTTATAACACTTAAGTCATCGTTCCAAATACTTTTAAGTGACTAAAATATTTCATAGGAAAATTATTTACAGTGTTTTAAAATCCGATTTCATTATATTTATTTCTACATGACCATGTATCTTTATCATTTTGAAATGAACAAAATTCTTGCCATTATTTGCTTTTTTATAACTACGAAATAGACTTACATGTTCATTATCTGAAGGCATTTTTTCAAATGGATTATTTAATTCAGTGTCAGATGTTGAAAGGTTGGTACTTGTTTCACTACTTATTAACAATCCCTGAGCATTTGAGAAAAAATTTAAAATAGATTGAGAAGTTGAAAGTGATGATGATTTTGGAGATTGGGTTTCACGATCAAGCTCAGAGACGGAAGAAATAGATCGATGGTGAGCTAATCCATTATTTCTTTTGTGTGTTGGTTGATACACAGAAGACTTTAATCCAGATTGACGTGCTTCTAAAATTTGTTGTATTCGAGTACGGGGAGATTTATAGTTTCTGAACATGTGCAATATTGGTGGACATCGATCACTGACAAGTGTGGTCACAGCAGCTCTAATATTTTTAGAATGAATAAACATATGTAAATTACTTGAAGAAACTATTTTGATGCAGAACAACTTAACGTAAAACAATGCTACCTGTGTTATTGAGAAATTAATGCTTGGTTTGTCTAAAAAAATCTAAATGAGATTAGTAAGAGATATTAAACCAAACAGTAACGTATTTCAGTGTATTATAAATTCATGACATATCTGATCGCCAAACTGAAAAATAGTTCTATAGAGAAAGGTTATGAAATTACTAGCTTATTAAACAGCTTACTTTTTAGTTATAAAACAATATATTTATGATCATTGACTAGTGGAGTTTAATCGGTATCAGGTGTGAGACAGTTATTCACCTCAAGCAATGGATGAGGATTGCGCAGTATCGTGTATTGGTTGGAGTTAGGCGTTAACATCGTTGGTGCAGGCTCAGGCGTTCATGCCCAAGACTGAAGATCCTGAGTTCAATTAACGTATACATGTTGTGGATGGGCACCGCTGAGGAGTTCCATGATAGGACAAAACGTCCGTCCAGTATTTTTAGGTTTTCAACGGGAGTTTAGCTAAGATCAGTTCGTGATTTAAGCTGTGAAAATATTTGTGATATCTCAATGAGCAGAATTTCAAATCTCTAGCGTTTCATGACCTATGATAAGCCACTTCTTCACACTACATAAATAACTGAATTGAATTCACACAAGTTTGAATAGTGTAAAAGAACAATGAAGATGTTTTGGTAAAGGTAATCATGTGTGAGACTTCACCACCATACAGATAATATTTTTATATGATGGTGGGTACAGAAAATGAGCGACTTGTAATATGAAGGAGTACAGTTAAAAATTAAGTGTGTGTAAATTGTGAGAAATGAACAGAGTTAAATGTGGTTGTTTGGATAAACAATTCAAGTTGGATGCATAGTCAAGGTTTCTTTTTTGTTGAGGGCAAAGGGATCTAGCATTATACGTAATGTCTTAACTACTCTCCTTCCTTTATAGTTGAGATAAACGTTTATGGATTATTTTGATATTTTTAATATCGAGATCGTGGTTATTGATTTCAGCATGTAGCATTATTGCCGATTTAATTTGTAAATTTTCTAGCTCTATAAGATTATTCGGTCCCCTTTGGAAGCTTAAATGTTCCTTGGGATGAGTCGAGATTTCAAGAGATTCTCAAACACAGAATGGATCACAGTCAACACAATTTAATATATAGATCCAATTTTCTATGCGGATGTCAGCCATATCTTTTCTTCATCTGAAACCAAAGCATTCCGAAAAGTATTGATGTTTGACAGAAAGCTTGTATGTTTTCAAGATGGGTTCCAATTCTTCTGTTATATCGCAGCAGTAAGATGAAACTACGGTACCAGTCCAAGATACTTCATTAGAATTGTTAAAGATGGATGGTTTCATTTTAAAATGATTTTAATAATAATATGAAAATCGGTAAATTGAAAGATGATTAGTATGTTGTTTTTTCTTTCAGATCTTCTAAGTAGATTGATTACCGGGGAAAGTTTTGGACTGAACGGATAAGCAGATTTGTATTGATGTACCTATTTGAATGTAATGCTTTATTATTAATTGGCTAAATACCGAAAACCCATACAACCACATCGTTACACAAATTTCAACTCTGCACATCCCATCTGAGGTTGAAAAAAATCCGATAAACTAATTTTTATTTAATTTCATATCTTTCAATTCTCTAAGAAATTGTAAATTTAAAACAATTACATCAAATTTCAATATGACTATTGTTTGATTACACTTTTTGTTAAATGATTTACAAACTGTCCTTGCTGTAATTACTGATACGCAGCTTTAACAGTTCATCTAATCCATAGACAACAATTTATTCGTATCCACAATGGTTGACTGCATCATGAAATCTCTTTTATACTTATTTCACGACTAGATAAACTGAACTTGTATTATTTTTGAGCAACTAAACGAATCTCAAAGGAATTAACTGTTTACATAGAATTCTTAAATGAACAGAATAGTTCTGTCAAAGATCTAATCAAATAAAAATTAATTGTCATTATAGAACGACTACAACTAGATATGAAACTAGTGTTAATTATCTATCACATTCGAGAGTACATCTCCTCACCAAGATGAATAGACAATCTCACACGAAATCAAATTTAGAGCCTATTGGTAAATTATAATCAAGCAAAGTAAATGTGTGAACAGACAGAATAGTAATTGTATTATTTAGCTAACTGACCGGAGAGTTCCAAGACATACCCAACTGGAATATGTCCAAATAACTAAACAGTATTGTGTTTGATCTGAATGATGGAAGTTCTAGCCAAGATCATATATAAAGTAGCTAGTATTCCAAAAGTCTAAAATAGTATTAACTAAATATAAATTAATCTTACAATTTATAAATGAATGTACCAATTACAGAAACAACAATTAAATTGTTCGTATAGATCTATTTTCAAGTAAAAGAAGCACTTATTAAGTGACTAAGTATATGCGAATATTTTTTATGAAATCAAAGTGACTATTTTTATACGTAAAAAACTCCGTTAAATTAATACGGTCTATGGGTGGTTTACTTGTTAGTTAACTAATGAATGAAATAAAGGTCATAAAAATAGTCATTAATCTTTTACTTCTGACCAATGCAATAGTCTTGTACTGAATCTATTCACTAGTCTATACACTACTTTTATTCTGATCCAGTGTTAATTCCTACCAATCTTTGCTAAAATATGTTTCTTTTTAAACAGTCAATATAATAAATTTAACCGATAAAAGCACATTATATTTACTACCTGATTGTTTTTAAATCAGTCATCACAGTATTATCACCGAATTCATTACGCATTAACATTTCTAATGGTTCCGGTGGATATGGTCGTTTACCACAGAAGATAAGATCTTTAAATCGAAATAGTAATGTACGACAACAATGTAAACATTTGCCAGATATTATGAATAATGATATCGCTGCACCAGTTGAGGTACCTATAAGATAAATAAGTAAAAATAAAGTGACAAACACACACAAAACAAGTCGTAACAAATTTCGGATTGCATACTACATAACAACTTTACAACAATGACTTACGTATTTTAATGTGTACGACCACAAGTAGAATACTACACCCTTATATTCTGAGAAGTGTTCACAAAAACGATAAACGTAGGTTGGAATTTACGAAGAGACGATGTACAGTTTACATTCCTTGAAATAATTATACTTTAAACTACAAATCCAGATGCATTAGGCCTGAAACTGACTTTTTATGGAAGCCGAATGTAACCTTTTTTCAAAATGCTAAAACTAAACTAACTAACTTTCACAGTCACTGCTGCAATTCAATATGTAGAGACACGCAATTTCAGCATTTCTAACTATACATTGAAAATAAAAATGTTTCATTCTAAGTCCTCTCTGTATCAATGACTTTACAAGTAAATTTTCAAGACTCTGGAATAGTTTGCCACCAATCTAACATCACTACCAACATTTGTTCGAGAAATTTATGGTCACCTCTTCCTCTCCGAAACTCTCTTAAAAATACGCCTGTTTACATAGCTCATTCTACAAAAGAAATTATAAAGACATTAAGAGTCTGAACACTGTTTTTACTGGGCATACTTACTAAGCTTACCTTCTTGCAAGTATTTTACACCTACTCTATCACCGGTTAATCTAATTAACTGAATATATATCTAAATCAGTAAGTCACAAAGCTACTTAGCAACCCTATAACGGCAAACATGCAACAGTAATTTTTATTGCTATTATTCTGCGCTTTTTTTCTTTAGTTCCAGATTGTCACAATTACTCCTTAATGGCACTGGAGATAATCTTAGTCGCCCTACTGATATGTTTGAAGAGATTATGGGATAATCTAAAAATCAGCGAACGGAATGAAGTATCAGTGATGCAACGACAAGACAGTTAAACTATTCCAATGAGTCTTAGCCCTGGTAACTAGAGGGAGAAGTCTAGGTTCAGATGAGGGGAAGTATGTTTCACAAGCAGCCAGAAGCACGAACAGCAACAAGCACATAGCTCAAGCGTATATATACAGCATAAAAATTTCTTTAGGAAACATCACAAAATATCATATTAAGAGACAACGAACCAATGATATTTAGATTCCTTTCAAGTGGGAAATACAATCTGAAGGTAAAAATGGGTGTTTTTGGCGCGAAAGCTAGAAGTTCAAATTTTCAAAATAAAATTACAAAAATAAGACGTTCACCAAGTGATCCCCAACACCCACTAAGAATTAATGGTTTCACTCTGTTTCCTTCTTGGGAAGAATATCCCGAAACTATTAATGAACTACATCATTTCAGACAACATAACTATGTATCTCTGCGCTCTACATGTAACATTACTTTATGTATCAACCAAATCATGCCTGTAAATTTAGTATGCATTCTATAGTAATGTAGGGAAATAATTATTTATTTATCTACGTAAATGACACCAAATGTTGTTAGGTGGTTGGAAGTAATCGGTAAGAAAACTTTAATCTATATTTCGTGGTAGCAAACATTCGTTAATAAGGCATACACCTTCACAATCCTGTATGGAATGTTGCTCTCCGTAGAATTGAAATTCGAGTCATTCAGTGACATAATGATTATCATTAAATGAGCAGTTAATATTAATAAAAGCATGTTAAACAGTAAATACATGAAAATGAAACGAAAACAACACATTTCAATGATAAAAGTTCACTATGGCGACTATCATTATTATTATTATTAAACATAAATCATAAGATGAATAAGAATGTACTTTGAAAAACAACAATTAAAATTGTTTAGTTGTAAAATGTTGTTTAAATAATAACCTATTTAATGATGTAAACAGATTTTATAAAAACGTCCGCGTTCTTTTTTTTCAGAGATATGTTCTTCATGGAATAATAGATTATCCGAATAAAACTGACCTGCTGAATTTTAACCACATTTTTCTATACTAATGTGTTAGTGTTTCACTTTACTGAATTGTGATTAATTACTTAATGAAGCAGAGAAAACCTTAAATGTGAAAATTGTAAACTAAAAAGTATATTATATACTAATTCTTATAAGAAAATACCTTGACTTTTGGTGATGTAAACAACAACAACAAAAAAAAGCAAATAAAAACTAACTGAGAATAACTATAAAAATTGGCAAAAAGTAACACTACTGTACTACGGTTCAGTTTGCTACACACTCTAAATTCATAGAAAAAGATGAAATACTATATTTGCCACTAGATTATTGATAAATTCTATAATCGACTCTATATTTTCGTGTTTTAATGTGAACTGTTGGTTGGAGTAGGAATAAATTGGGAATGGTTAATCCGAAAAATTACATCAGTCCATAAGACATTAAAAATTGAGCTGAGGCACGTAAGAGTTCATGATCCATTCGATTATTATGACCAGTGGATGGAGACATTGGGTGTAGTGGCTCAGAATCGATCACACTGATTTAGACGGATTCACTATCTATTTTCCTCTAGATCTTGAATTATAGTATCCTTTTACAGTATTATTCTAGGACCATATTTTCAATATTTGATCTTTGTTGTATCCCCTGGCGAATTATGAATCATAAATCTGATGTCCATTTATGGACAAATGTAATACGCCTATTCCTATTGGATAGTTGTTAAACGAGTCATAACAATTGGCGACGGGGATTCTGGAAAAAAATACAGCAGCCGCTGACGTCATTTCGGAATTAAATAATCCATAATAATTGCCGGTGTTTTTTTTGGATTTATTATTATTATTTACATTTAAAAAAATGGCCTTAACTTCCGACCAATTTCAGTTGCTAATCCAGCGACAAGAGCAGCGCTTCAGAAAGAGTCAATTGGATTTCATTGACAAATTACACGCGAAGCTGCTGAATCACCCATGCTTTGGGAGTGAAACGGAAGTTGACGCAATAATTTCAAAATTGCGTACAGAGCTGGAAAACAGTTACAGAACTAATGAATATGCCGGCGAAAGCCTCAATGAATCCATACAAAGCAATAATTTAAGCGCAGCAGTTATACATGATCAGCCCAGTAACCCAGTACTACCTGTTTCAGAGACATGTCCTGTACACGGTCCAAGTCTTATTAATCCCGAAAACGGACGTGCAAACAATGAATTATCCTATTCACAGAAAGTAAATGTCTTGCAAAATGCTCATGAAATTGCTGCAGTACCCGCCCACGAAGAAACGGGAAACAAATCGAGCAGTATATGGAATACAGTGGCACCAAATGAAATTAATCATGATACGGAAAATGTTTCTAATGAATCTAATGATCAAAATTCTGTAATTGTTCTACCAGATTTAGATTATTTTGATGATTCATATGTTTCTGTTGAATTCTCTTATAAAAATGAGAGAAAAATGTCAGATGTATTTAATGATAATCAAGAATCCAATACAACTCTCATAGATACTGATTATCCTAATGATTCATTATCTACTAATGAGGTTCCGAGGAAATTCAAGAAAACTATTTCAGAAGAATCAAATGTTGGTGACCTCGAATCAAATGTCGTCGATCCTCATGATCTCTTCAGTTCTAATGCATTCCCTGTTAAAGGTGACAAACATATCGCATTAATAGTAACTTGGCTATATGAGGATCCAACAGTCTTTCGTGGGGGAGGGTGAATTCGAGGGAATTAAAAATCCGGATATCAACTCCGGATTTCTCAAAAAGGGGAGGTGTTGTATCCCCTGGCGAATTATGAATCATAAATCTGATGTCCATTTATGGACAAATGTAATACGCCTATTCCTATTGGATAGTTGTTAAACGAGTCATAACAATCTTTTTTATTATGATTGCTACAAAATTATTCAAGCTTCTCTCCCATTAATCTTGTTTTGCTGATGCGAGATAGCAACTTTGGCCAACACGAATTCATACCATACACTAAGTTGACTATATCTGAAACATTCGTTTAAAATGACCCTCAGGAATCAATAATAATCATGATCAATAAGACATACATAAACAAATATTATTGATGAAAAATATTACCAATGATCCAATCAAATAATTCTGTAATTTTCTTTCCAGATGCTATTTCTAAAGCACGAAGTAATTGCACGATAACTAGTCCACGCATACCACCACCATCAAGCGATAGAACACGAAGACCATTAGGTCCAATTTTCCATTTTTTGGCTTTTTTGACACGATGTTGATTACCGGTAAAATTACAATTATTATGATCATCATCATCTGTATTTAAGTCAGATAGTTGATTATGATTGATGAATTTGTCAAAATCTTTATTTTTAGATATATCAACAATATCAGGGTTTGTAGGGATAGTGTCCAAAGTACTAGCAGTAGTGCAATTTGTTGTTGTTGTCATTGATGATGTGTCTAAATCCATAGGTATTCCATTACGTTTAACGAATACTGAACGATCACAAACACATTTTGTGGGCTTGAAATTAAATGTTACCTCTGGTGGTAAATGTACTTTCTTGGGATTTGTATCGTCAGATGACTAAATGTTCAGTGGTTAAAATAAAAAAGGTGATAATTTGAAATATGAGAAACCTATTGTAGCAAAGTGATGTTACAAGCATACAAAGGGAAACACAAATCGATCAGTATAAAATACAATCAAATGATCATGTATAGTTTTTCTCATTTTGAACTATAAGTGACATTTATTAGTTAAGGATTGATAACACTATTCAGCTAATTTAAACAAACCAGATAAAGACAGGCTTGAACTGGTTACACAACACTAATAATAATCTCCAAACATAGAATCCAGAAAGAAAGCAGCATTAGTACAGAAGAAAGTTGATATTTACCAAGGAAAATTTGGAACAGATCTCTGTACAAACAGTGACAAAAACATAATCTTCAAGCACGCAAAAAATTAGCAACTAACGTGGTAACAACCAGTCAGAAAAGTGCACAGGTTATACGAAGATTCAAATGTCAAAAATTACGGTTATAGTTAAAATTAAGAACTTAACGTTTGTTGACAAAACTCGACAACCAAGGAATATGCTCATAGATCTTACAATGTCAAGCTCCAATTTTTTGTGAAAGTGTAGCGTGGATCCAATAACCTTGGTTAACAATAATGGAAACTAAATCCCCAAAAAACAATACTACAAGAACGTCTAATACATAGGAGTCTGAAATGATGCAGAAGATTTCCAGTTAACGTGGATACTTTTCAGCGTTCTCGAGTTTTTTGAGCTAGATGATCAAATCACGAAGATTTCATTGACATTATGGACAATAATATCAGGGATTATTGAGTTTAAAAGTTATTTTTAGAATCAGAGCATGACATTACTGACTATTATTTCAACGTGTAAGGATAACCCCACAGAAACTGAGATTGTAGAAGACTATTCGAAATACTGTTATAATATACAAAAATTTAAATCTGATATTGCATTGATTAATACTAAATAATAACTTAGTCAGACGTTTAATTTACTTAGTAAGATAAATAGTAACGCAAAACAATCAGGGACAAATATTTGGAAGGGATCTTTGTGTTGACTGTCTGAGAACATAATCAAAATTTTTAACAAAGAAATTCTGTCGTTTTTTTTCTCTTTATGCAAACATGAGTGAACGGTTTCAATCATAACTTCCGACAATTATCTTTGATGTACTTAACAAAACGGATTTAATCTATCTGAAAGAACAGAATTTTTACTTATCATGAATTGGAAAAACAGATAAATGTAGCTAATCACAGACAAAAATAATATTTTTCATACTAGTGAATAGTAATATATAATAACCCGATACAGTAGGGAATTGAAAGTTATTTAATTATATAGAACAAAGTAATTTTATGTTTAATAGTAAGATGATGATGGTATTGAAAAAGAAAATAATGAAAGATAAAATTATATATACTCCGTAAGGTGATCAAACTTATTAATTCGGTCCTTAAAATTTGGTAAATTTGCAAAAGTAAAAAAAACGAAAATCACAAATAGTTATATTATGACTAGAATTCAAATCAAAAATCAAAACACAGGATTTAAAGACTGTTAAATTTTTCGTGGTTCGATGAACTGACTCCGACTTTGATGAATGTGTGAATATGTTATAGACACAAATCTTCCATTTAACTCCGTATATTACCCAGGATAACCCTGTTTGTGTGATGGTGGTAATACGAAGCCAAATATGGGTTGAGTTGATTGAATTTATTTCAAACATTCTTCTTTCCAGAAAGACTTTCAGAATGATAAACGGCAAAACAAAGTGGGACGAAGTGGCGAACTCAAGTGAGCTAACTCGATCTGATCAAGAATGACTAAATATTTACAGTCAGACAGAAATAAGCTAAAAACATATGATGGGTAGTGCAAGCAATGCGCACAAATACGCTCACATAAAAGCAGTCAAGGTTAATAAGCGACTCCACTACAATAAGTCGAACCTAGGACCATGGGTCTCGAGAGGAAACGCCTAAAATTTAGACCTCTAAGTTTCAATTCATTAGTGTACATATCTGGTTTCAATCAACCTACGATGTTCAAAGACCATTTTCCATTATGTACGATAGATAACTTTTTTACACTCGTTATGGTCGAATCCTACTGCTCACAGCTTCTCACTAGAACTGTAGTGAACGAGAACACTAGTTGGGGACAATCGAATATATTTAGAAACAAATTACAGACTATCTCACTAAATTCTGATAACCATACAATGAACAGTTAATTTGCAAATTAACAACCAATTGTCTCAATCTTCACTGTTCCTTCTGTAAATATAAGTTCATCTTCTCTAATTCCGTTGTTCATGCACTTGATTTCAGTTCTATCCTTATTGGTCTTCTGCCAAAATACATTCTATGTCTGACTGTCACCATATACTACTTATATGGATATAAGTAGATCACACTACAGAACTACCGGAACGGGATGTTGAAGTTAATCACTAATGTACACATAATTACTATTTACTTTCATGGAAAGATAAAACTAAAGTGAAAATAAAAATGTTGCAATGACTACGTTTAACATTAGTCCACAAGTTCCGAAGTAGAATAAATCATCAGCTATTAAACAATAATAAATGTTCTTTTGAATGTTAAAACACTTTATTCTAAGGGATGTGCATATATAATATGTAAAATAAAATTGAATTATTGCAGTAAGATGCTTACAGTTAATTTAGGAAGATACTCTTCATTTAAATGACTTTTTCGATATGGTCGAATCCTACTGCTCACAGCTTCTCACTAGAACTGTAGTGAACGAGAACACTAGTTGGGAACAATCGAATATATTTAGAAACAAATTACAGACTATCTCACTAAATTCTGATAACCATACAATGAACAGTTAATTTGCAAATTAACAACCAATTGTCTCAATCTTCACTGTTCCTTCTGTAAATATAAGTTCATCTTCTCTAATTCCGTTGTTCATGCACTTGATTTCAGTTCTATCCTTATTGGTCTTCTGCCAAAATACATTCTATGTCTGACTGTCACCATATACTACTTATATGGATATAAGTAGATCACACTACAGAACTACCGGAACGGGATGTTGAAGTTAATCACTAATGTACACATAATTACTATTTACTTTCATGGAAAGATAAAACTAAAGTGAAAATAAAAATGTTGCAATGACTACGTTTAACATTAGTCCACAAGTTCCGAAGTAGAATAAATCATCAGCTATTAAACAATAATAAATGTTCTTTTGAATGTTAAAACACTTTATTCTAAGGGATGTGCATATATAATATGTAAAATAAAATTGAATTATTGCAGTAAGATGCTTACAGTTAATTTAGGAAGATACTCTTCATTTAAATGACTTTTTCGATATGGTCGAATCCTACTGCTCACAGCTTCTCACTAGAACTGTAGTGAACGAGAACACTAGTTGGGGACAATCGAATATATTTAGAAACAAATTACAGACTATCTCACTAAATTCTGATAACCATACAATGAACAGTTAATTTGCAAATTAACAACCAATTGTCTCAATCTTCACTGTTCCTTCTGTAAATATAAGTTCATCTTCTCTAATTCCGTTGTTCATGCACTTGATTTCAGTTCTATCCTTATTGGTCTTCTGCCAAAATACATTCTATGTCTGACTGTCACCATATACTACTTATATGGATATAAGTAGATCACACTACAGAACTACCGGAACGGGATGTTGAAGTTAATCACTAATGTACACATAATTACTATTTACTTTCATGGAAAGATAAAACTAAAGTGAAAATAAAAATGTTGCAATGACTACGTTTAACATTAGTCCACAAGTTCCGAAGTAGAATAAATCATCAGCTATTAAACAATAATAAATGTTCTTTTGAATGTTAAAACACTTTATTCTAAGGGATGTGCATATATAATATGTAAAATAAAATTGAATTATTGCAGTAAGATGCTTACAGTTAATTTAGGAAGATACTCTTCATTTAAATGACTTTTTCGATATGGTCGAATCCTACTGCTCACAGCTTCTCACTAGAACTGTAGTGAACGAGAACACTAGTTGGGGACAATCGAATATATTTAGAAACAAATTACAGACTATCTCACTAAATTCTGATAACCATACAATGAACAGTTAATTTGCAAATTAACAACCAATTGTCTCAATCTTCACTGTTCCTTCTGTAAATATAAGTTCATCTTCTCTAATTCCGTTGTTCATGCACTTGATTTCAGTTCTATCCTTATTGGTCTTCTGCCAAAATACATTCTATGTCTGACTGTCACCATATACTACTTATATGAATATAAGTAGATCACACTACAGAACTACCGGAACGGGATGTTGAAGTTAATCACTAATGTACACATAATTACTATTTACTTTCATGGAAAGATAAAACTAAAGTGAAAATAAAAATGTTGCAATGACTACGTTTAACATTAGTCCACAAGTTCCGAAGTAGAATAAATCATCAGCTATTAAACAATAATAAATGTTCTTTTGAATGTTAAAACACTTTATTCTAAGGGATGTGCATATATAATATGTAAAATAAAATTGAATTATTGCAGTAAGATGCTTACAGTTAATTTAGGAAGATACTCTTCATTTAAATGACTTTTTCGATATGGTCGAATCCTACTGCTCACAGCTTCTCACTAGAACTGTAGTGAACGAGAACACTAGTTGGGGACAATCGAATATATTTAGAAACAAATTACAGACTATCTCACTAAATTCTGATAACCATACAATGAACAGTTAATTTGCAAATTAACAACCAATTGTCTCAATCTTCACTGTTCCTTCTGTAAATATAAGTTCATCTTCTCTAATTCCGTTGTTCATGCACTTGATTTCAGTTCTATCCTTATTGGTCTTCTGCCAAAATACATTCTATGTCTGACTGTCACCATATACTACTTATATGGATATAAGTAGATCACACTACAGAACTACCGGAACGGGATGTTGAAGTTAATCACTAATGTACACATAATTACTATTTACTTTCATGGAAAGATAAAACTAAAGTGAAAATAAAAATGTTGCAATGACTACGTTTAACATTAGTCCACAAGTTCCGAAGTAGAATAAATCATCAGCTATTAAACAATAATAAATGTTCTTTTGAATGTTAAAACACTTTATTCTAAGGGATGTGCATATATAATATGTAAAATAAAATTGAATTATTGCAGTAAGATGCTTACAGTTAATTTAGGAAGATACTCTTCATTTAAATGACTTTTTCGATATGGTCGAATCCTACTGCTCACAGCTTCTCACTAGAACTGTAGTGAACGAGAACACTAGTTGGGAACAATCGAATATATTTAGAAACAAATTACAGACTATCTCACTAAATTCTGATAACCATACAATGAACAGTTAATTTGCAAATTAACAACCAATTGTCTCAATCTTCACTGTTCCTTCTGTAAATATAAGTTCATCTTCTCTAATTCCGTTGTTCATGCACTTGATTTCAGTTCTATCCTTATTGGTCTTCTGCCAAAATACATTCTATGTCTGACTGTCACCATATACTACTTATATGGATATAAGTAGATCACACTACAGAACTACCGGAACGGGATGTTGAAGTTAATCACTAATGTACACATAATTACTATTTACTTTCATGGAAAGATAAAACTAAAGTGAAAATAAAAATGTTGCAATGACTACGTTTAACATTAGTCCACAAGTTCCGAAGTAGAATAAATCATCAGCTATTAAACAATAATAAATGTTCTTTTGAATGTTAAAACACTTTATTCTAAGGGATGTGCATATATAATATGTAAAATAAAATTGAATTATTGCAGTAAGATGCTTACAGTTAATTTAGGAAGATACTCTTCATTTAAATGACTTTTTCGATATGGTCGAATCCTACTGCTCACAGCTTCTCACTAGAACTGTAGTGAACGAGAACACTAGTTGGGAACAATCGAATATATTTAGAAACAAATTACAGACTATCTCACTAAATTCTGATAACCATACAATGAACAGTTAATTTGCAAATTAACAACCAATTGTCTCAATCTTCACTGTTCCTTCTGTAAATATAAGTTCATCTTCTCTAATTCCGTTGTTCATGCACTTGATTTCAGTTCTATCCTTATTGGTCTTCTGCCAAAATACATTCTATGTCTGACTGTCACCATATACTACTTATATGGATATAAGTAGATCACACTACAGAACTACCGGAACGGGATGTTGAAGTTAATCACTAATGTACACATAATTACTATTTACTTTCATGGAAAGATAAAACTAAAGTGAAAATAAAAATGTTGCAATGACTACGTTTAACATTAGTCCACAAGTTCCGAAGTAGAATAAATCATCAGCTATTAAACAATAATAAATGTTCTTTTGAATGTTAAAACACTTTATTCTAAGGGATGTGCATATATAATATGTAAAATAAAATTGAATTATTGCAGTAAGATGCTTACAGTTAATTTAGGAAGATACTCTTCATTTAAATGACTTTTATGTTATATATATATATATATATATATATATATATATATATATATTATAACTTACTTGCTGTGAATTATTTGTTACATCAGTAAATTTAGTGTAATTTAATTGTTCAGTTGAATGTGAATTCGATGTGAGATCAACTTCTGAGTCGGAGGCTAAAAATTTTTAAAAAAATTAAATAAAGATGTAACAACCATAACAATAAAAACACAATACCACATGCCGGGAGAATGAAAATATGAAATTTGGTATGTTAATCTATCAATGTAATTTAAACTCTGTGGGATAAAAAAAATCAGTCACTGAAATGTAACCAATGATCTTTAACTTATATGAGTTACGTCGATTTTAGATGACTATTAATGTAATAAATATTATAAATGGAGCGATATTATGTTTTGTGATCTGTTTTGATATTGGATGTTTGTAGTCAATGGACGGAAAAACATGCATTTTATTATTTTATAGGTTAATATATAATGAATGTATCATGAACAGTTTGCCAAACAGTTCCAGTGAACAAGTAATTATTTGAGTTTCGGAAATTTAATCAAGAATTATTAATTCTAGAGTGCGCTGGGTTTCATTCCCTTTTTTGCATTAGATTTTCTTTAAACTACGTGATAAATTTTAATGGTTCAGATCACGAACTGATCTTCGTTAAACAACAGTTGAAAACCTGAAGGCATAAGACAGATGTTTTGTGCTAGGATGAGACTCCTCAGCGGTACATATTTATGAATCTGCATCTAGGAATCAAACCATGGGTCCTTGTTCTCACGCACGAACGCCTGACTTTTAGACTGCTGAGCCAGCAACCAATGATGTCGATGTCTAGCTTTAACAATTTGCTAAATCGTGAAATTATGTATATATTCTGTACCAGTAGTAGTGGTATTGTAGTGTATGCTAGTTATGTTGACGGACATAAGTAGTATTTAACACCGATCAGAAGTGGGATACCTGTCAAAAGAAGGTTGAAAATATTGAACTGAACAAACAAAGAAACATAAAGGAATTAAGCATTATGAGAATTATAAGGGATGCAAAGAGGAACTGATGGAAAATGTGCAAATGCGGTATATATATATATATATATATATATATATATATATATATATATATATATATATATATATATATATATATATGTTCTAACGTCAAAATTAAGAATAGGAAGATCACAAAAGTATAAACCTCCATGCATTTGTTGCTTTATGCCTGTACTACAGGAAACGTCAATATATATAATTGTAATAGTATTAAATTATCAAAAAGATCAATAAACTATCAAGTTTGTGACCGAAAGTCTATATGTACTAATCAAGTATCATAAGCAAAAATGGATAGTTGCTAACAGTGAACTCTAAGACGTGCATTTCGTCCTATTTGATGTTCACTCTGAGATTCTAACCCAGTAACGTTCGCTTCAAACGCCACCACGTTATCCACTTAGCTACTGAGCCCTGATAGCCACCCGATTGTGCAATATGATGTAGTTTAAATTCACTTGGTATTGTTTACTTGAATCTTCCCATTGATGTTTAGGACTGTAATTGATCAGCCACTTATTGGTATATGTGCATGTGGATATCAGCGCTCGGTAGCTAAGTGGATAACGCGATGGCGTTTGAAGCGAAAGATACTGGGTTCGAGTCCCAGAACGAACATGAACTCTGGGATGCAGGTATATCCAGCTGACGAGTCCCAAATAGGACGAAATGCACGTCCTAGATTCCACTGTTAGCCATTATCCATCTTTACTTATAATGCTTATGAATTAAGGCTATATCAAGGCAATCCGCACAGTATGCACATATGTCAATAAGAGACTGATCAATCGCAGTCCTAACCATCAATGGGAAGATTCAAGTAAACAATACCAAGTGGATTTAATCAAGTACAAGTTATAATTTCCATTGACATAGGGACGTTTGAAAGTCACTTTCAATTTGTACTTTTTATTTTTAACAAACAAATTAGTATCTAATGTCAACTCATCAATAACCTAAAGTTGCAAATATATGCATACACAGTCATTTATTCATTTATTTTTACAATGTGGACTTTTCAAATGATTAATATTTAAATGACTCATGTTATCTTACGGAAGTTAACATCTGAATATGATTGGATAAGCATTTAGTGTATATTTGATTTGATTGTTGTCTTGAAGAGGTTCAGACAAGTTTATTGAACGAAACGTTGGGATTATTTAAAGTTCAATCGCTGAGACTGATTCAAATATGATTTTCACTAAATCAAAGATACCTTCTTAATTCTGTATCATATTCGTAGTAGTTTACGAAACAGCGTAAGATTACACTATATAGCCAAATGGATTAACTTCCATCCAAAGAAATCCAATTAATGTATACAAAAACGATACATTGGCCCACATTAGGGTCGTTTTATTCCTAGATCTAGTTTTGTCTCATCCCCTTCATTGTGATTTGTACTCCCCTGCAAGATATTTATCAATAGTGTAATAAGAATACGAAGACGGTTCCATCCGACGTTCTATATATAGAAAGCCGACATGGACGGGGCAATATCTTAATTTCCATAGTCACTGCCCAATTCAATACAAACGTGGTTTAATAAAGGGCTTATTCAATAGAATCAATCGTATTTGTACTACAGATACTATTGAAGTAGAAACGAAGCTTTAAACAAATACATTAATGAATAATGATTATTCGAATCTCGCGAGTGTGGGATCGTGGGTGCGCACTGCTGAGGAGTCCCATAATAGGACGAAACGGCCGTCCAGGGCTTCCAGATTTTCGATGGTGGTCTAGCTTCAAATGACTCATGATTTCAACTTTGAAAAATACTGACATCTCCACAAATCCCCTTCTAATAATGATTATTCATTTAAGTTCATAAACCGCTGGAACCTGGACCTATGACGCTTCTGGCGCCCAAAAAGCAATTTTATATTACATTACCATTTAGGAGTGACTTAAAGAGTCTCATGTTGAGACGGAGACTGAAATTAGCCATAAACAGGGCATTTTATGCAGTTCAACTTGTCATCATTGAAAAGACAAGGTCAATGTTTCACCAAAAACCTAAACAGCACATAAGCGATTGTGTCACATCCCATTGTGTATATCAATTTACATGTATGTGCGGTAACACGTACATAGGGAGGAACAATTGTGATCTGCAAATAAAGGTGGCGGAACACATACCTAAATGGCTGCAGAACCAAATAAATTCCAATGGTCAAATAAAATCACAGGATAAACAAACATCTCCCTCTATTGCGAAACATTTGGTTGAAGCTGGTCATAAGGTTGACATCAAGTCAGCGTTTGTAGTGTTGTACAAAAGCCTTCAAGGACGTATACTTAGGTTTATTGAAACCTTGGCTATACGGGAATTGAAACCCCTTTATGTGTTAAAAACAATTTGTTCTTACCCTTAACCCACCCTGGTAATGCTGATTTATTATCCAAAGTAGTCATCACATTGTTTTTGTGTACTTTATTTACTTTCTTACCTTAACCTGTCTAGTTGACCTTTTAATTTTCATATAAAAATGTCTTAACAAGTATATGTGTGATCAGATTGTTCGAAATGTATTGCGCAAATATAATCACAACTACAGTACAGTAATTCCTGCTTTCTATTAACTTGTTTCTACATAAGATTGTAATCTACTAATCACAACTGATCACCCGAATGCATATAGCTGTCTTAAAAGTTATGTATGATCACTTCTTAGTATTTCTAGAGACTTTCTTTTATTAAGTATTTTGTAATATTTAAGACTGAATAGATGTGAATTTTAACATTTTCAATTTAGAACATGGATTAATTCAACTTCATTATTTTGTCAAGTGTAACACAATAGTAATAATAATAATTTAGATGCATAACAGTAGAGCCTCTTGAAGGAGGTATCGACAGCGATCTTTTGATTTGAGATGTTCGGTCTCAAATATTCTATGGGAACTATATAAATCGTTAAAATAATATCCTTCTGTAATCAATGGTTCGTAGTGGAGACAGTTTCCTACGAAAATTGCAAAAGTTGGTCCACTGCAAAAAACAGTTGTCGTCAAAGTTATTGTTAAAAAGTCAGAGTACATGAGGGAAAACAATGACACCAAACAATCAATATTAGTGTTGAAATTATGAGACCAAGTAAGCTTAACTAGACGAACAACTGTAAAGAAATAAACTAATTGTGACAAACAAGGTTTAGGTCAAAACTACCTACACACAATTTGTCAAAATAAATAAACGATCAATAAAAAACAACAACAAATAAACGTGATATTAGAGAAAAACATGAAGCCAGTTAATGAGACTCTTCTGTTTTGATTTCTATCTACCAATGAAGTTATTTTCAATCAGAAAAAAAGTGGAGCAGCTTTTAAATCGCTAAACATAATAGATGGTATATAGATACTACCTGTTAATTAAGTTTTGAAAATTGTTTTTTAGTTTGAAAAATACCTCATTAGAACGTAAAACTCATAAAATCAAACTAGCCAGCCCTCTAGGAATAGCGTTCGAATAATCGATACTGCTGATAATTTGCAGGGAAGCAGTTTGCCCACCTTCCAGTCAGTGAACAATAAGACACTTCGGGACAGACTTATATATATAAGATGAAACACTGGTGAATCCTATATTTACGTGATAACACATAACAAATAAGAAAAACATTTGACATCTGATTAAACTTATCAAATTAAATAACTCATCCTTATTGGTCAAAAGCTTTGATGAGGATTGAATTGATCGTTACGACGCAGTGTGTTCTTTGGTCTCCTCTTTTTAGTTCCCCTTCAGGATTCCAAGTAGGTATTTTCTTCGTAATGCAGTTTGATCACTTCCGCAATTTATATCCTATCCACTTCCATCTTCTTCTCCTAATTTCCTCTTCAACTGCAACCTGGTTTGTTCTATCCCACAGTGGGCTGTTGCTGATGGAATCCGGTCAACAGACATTCAGTATCTTACGTAGACAATTGTTTATAAATACTTGTACCTTGTTGATGATGGTTGTGGTAGTTCTGCAAGTTCCAGCTCCGTACAGTTGAACTGTCTTGACATTTATATTGAAGTTTCTAACTTTGATATTGGTTGACAGTTGTTTTGAGTTCCATATATTGTTCAACTGTGGCAATGCTGTCCTTACTTTGCCAATTCTTGCCTTTATGTCTGCATCAGATCCTTCTTTCTCATCGATGATGCTACCCAGATACGTGAATGTTTCCACATCTTCCAGAGTTTACCCATCAAGTGTGACTGGGTTGGTGTTCTCCGTGTTTTGTTTGAGGCTCTTGCTTCTTCCTTTGTGTATATTGAGGCCTACTGATCCAGACTCTGCTGCTACACTAATTGTCTCCATCTACATATATTGCTATGTATGCGATTTAAGAGCTAGGTCCATGAGATTCCTATACTACAAGTGCGTTTTGTGCTTATTTGGACAGCATTAGAGCAACTCCCTAATTGTGCGAGGCATTTTCCTCTTCGTGACTGGAGTACAATAGCATTTCTCCCGTATCTAGCCTTCACTGTCTAGCTTGGATCCAATGGGTCCCGCCGATTTCAAGTACTACCAAATTGTATCTCCTCATTTCCGTTGTTATTTGACTGTTTTTTTTCGGTTTCCTAAATTGTCCGGACATTCCAGATACCTATAATAATAACGTTTTTTAGCAAGGTTGTTTTCTACGGGATGGGGTTACCGACCCCACGCCCAACCGTCTTCCTTCGTGTGGGCTTGGGACCAGCAGTATTTTTAGCAGAGCTACAGGAGTAGTTATGATTCGTTTAAACATAAAAAATAAAATATATACAAAGTAGAATTCAACTTACGAATGCTAAAAGATGCCAGGTGTACATTATTACCATTTGTTAAAGGTTCCATTTGTCGATGAAATTTTGGAATATGTGAATATCGTCTTTGGGGCTTTGATATATTTTTACGTGAATTTCGTTGTTTGATATTATTCTTATTTACATCATGATTTTCTGAATGGCAATTGTATGAACGTGGAATCATACCATTTGATAAGTCATTATTAAACATTGTTTGAGATTGAGTCATTTGACTTGTTTGATGTGAAGGGTTAAAATCAAATGAAGTAGTGGATAAGAGAATTTCTTCGATTGCTACAATTTAAAAATAAACAATTAATTAATTGATTTTAAAACATCCTATACAAGTAGTAAAGATATTTTTGCGAAATAAAATATTATTTTAATAGTCAGTGTAGAATAGCTAGTGATCTGATGAATTATAATAACAGTTATGTTGACTAGTAAATTCACATACATTGACTTTACTGCGTTACAGTTTCTAAATTTTGTACTTATTGAAAGAAAATGGATTTTCAAAAAAAGATGATTACATTTCAATGAGAATAGCCAAGAAACTTGTTGATCGGTAACATGAAAGCAACCAGAATGTAACATAAGGTTTAGTAATAAATTATCTATTAAAAAAGTACGCTAATTACTGACACAAACTTATGAAGGTGATAAGTCAGGATACAGAAAATAGTTTACATTTTTCTCTTACTCATGATATTTTATTCGGTAAAATGTTAGTTTATTGTCAGTGTGTTATTCGACATTGATTTTATTATTAGTGTAACATTAAGTTATCATAATAATGAGTCTATATTTTCCAGTGTAACATTATTTCAGATATGTTTCGTAATTATTAAGTGCCGATTTCGACCAATATGACAGGTGTAAACATCCTCCCAGTGTGATAGTTATATTCTTCGTATCATTCTGTATGAATTTCATATATGTTTTACAGTAACCTTGTGCATATTTTCATTTATATGATGTTTACTAACGATTTATCAAGTGTGTGTAAAATCAGTGTATAAATGAATGTATTTGGTTTAGTGATGAGGTGATTTTAGATGGATTGTGTGGAAGGTGTGCTTTTGGAGAGTCAATAAATTTTCACTCGTACCAGTCATTATGTTATCACCTCGTGTTATGGGGATCGCAATAATTCCCATTTCCAAGTATAAGCAGTGGGAGAGAAGCATTTCGATTTTTTGTTAGAGACGTCTTTCACGACTTATTGCAATATTAAAGTTATTGATACGGATTAGCGGGAGACGTTCATTGTTTCATACTGTTTTGTGAAGAACACTATAGTACATAAAAACTACAGAACTATAAACAAAAATAATTATTTTTCGAGAAAGTAAATGAATGTATAGAATTACAGTTATATTGATCCAAATTTTAATTATAACAACTGAGTATAACGAAATAATCTTGCGAAAATGCTATAATTGTTGAATAAAAGATTAATGTACTCTGTACAAATATATAACTGTAGAAACACGAGTTTCATGAGCGTTTAAAAAGATATAATAATGGAAATCGTGATTTGACTTTTTTCAAGACGGTATTAATACACACATTCATTTTTAGTATTCACAAACAATATAAATTAACAACATTATCAACAGATAGTGTAATTCGCTTACATGAAAATGGATTATTTGTTCGTTTGTTTTTAAATCAGAGTACTGTATCGAATTTAAAAGAAATTACACATCGACAATTTCGTTAATTATTAATAGTGTTCTCTTTTGTAGCTGTGTAATGAACGAAGTATTTATTGATGGTTTGAAATGTTAACCGACCTACTTCCATTTGACGAGATAGATAGTGTATATAGTTCTCGAGCCGTGTATTTATAAGTGAAATTTAACCACTTATAATCACACTTGATCACTCAGTCAGTCAGTCAGCAACAACGTATAAATTCGTAGGTACGTTCATCAGTTCGAGTTGCTATACCACATTAGCACAGAAATACAATTGTCGATTCAAATCCCATAGTGGTAGATGTAGTAAAAGTATAATCAGTAATCGGAACGATTATTGTTTGAAGGTGTTATTCAAGGAGTAGAATCCAGTAAAATAAATTAGGAAGGAGAAAAAACAAAGGGACATGAAGAATTCAGAAGACCAGAGTTTGGGAGAACACAACAAGTGGATGCACCTTCACCATTGCAAACGATTTTGAGTCCTGTCATCCAAGGTCATTCAAGCAATAGCAAAATAGAACGAAAACAATTTGGTATTTTCCAGTAGTTTCCAACTAATATAAATTTTTAACGAAACCTATCCCTTAATTGAACTGGTCTATTCAAATCACACGATAAAACTATAAACTTTTTGCGAATAAGTAGACAATTGACAGTGAAACCTAAATCACGCAAATCATTTGTTTTCACTGTTCAGGTGACTGATGATAGTTCCAGTTTATGAGAAAGCATGACATTTTATATTTCTCAATAGATAGTGAAACAAAGTAATTATACTTAAAAGCCTTAACCGAGGGGCTTTTGTAGATTTCTCTAAATCATCAAACAACAGTTCCTCGTAGTGATTACAAAGATCGGATAATGGTAAAGTAAAAACAAGATTGTTCATCATTGACCATCGAAACCAAGCACCTTCAACAAACATTGTAGCGGTAGCTAGAGCCTTAATTACTAGAAACATCATGGTATTTCGCAGATATACAACTTTAAAAAAAGAAACTAACGGAGCATACACATCTGAGAAAAATACAACATCGGCAACTATTTGACGGATAGCCCCCAAATGCCCTGGTACGGCCGAGAGTGGGGAGAGTCTTCTCTCCCTCTCGAAATGCTCTCACATGGCCAGCGAATATATAGCCTCTGTCAGGGAAGTCCTACTCACTGCCTTCTCGTGGCACCGGTGTTGTTTACGAAAGTGAGAGGACGAAAAGTGAATGTCCGGCGTTTTAACCGGGTTGGTGGACACGGAGAGTCCACCTAGGGGAGTTGGAAAACCCTGATTCCAAACCAATGGTGCACATGGGCTCCAGTATCCTGATGGAACGAATGGCGGACGAACCTGTCATTGGTCAACGGCTACCATGGGACTGCATCTCCTCACGATGCTCCGCTGCCTTGTAGATCAGACCTTTTGGTCAAAGGCTCGGGGTGTGACCCCCTAAGAAAACCACCTGCTTCGGTTTGGGCACCCGGGCAGTATCACAGCCCACACACAAAGTGTGGCGCATATGTACCTGGTGCCCTTTTGTACCAATATATATGTGTTTAAATAATAAATAAATGACGGATATTTTAGAGATACATTTTACAGAATAATTGAATACAAGTTAATATCGAATACGATAACCTCCTAATACCGATAAGAATATTAGTTATTATAGTTCTTTGAAAATAGATTAACTTTACGTCTTAAGAACTTAATGTTGATATAAAAAAATTAATTAATTATTCATCACAAAATATAAATTCCAGCTTTATTATCACACAGAGATTCACTTCGAATAAGTAATCACAACAATCAGGTTTGAAAATCAATAAACCAAACAAATCAACCAGAAGCTGAAAAGACTAAATCACAATCGTGCTCTTCAATAACCAATGTAAATGTAAATTAATAATTTCCTATGAGTTAATATACTAGGAAGTACGCTAAACTTATTATTTGCAAAGTAAAATAGAAATGAACAAGGGTTCAGTATTATGACAAACCACGAGAACTAAATAAATCATATGATGTTTCACAATTTGATACCAAGACAGGTACAAGCATAAAATAACTATAATAACTATTCAACTAGCTAATGTTATCCCAACGTTTCTGCCGAAGATAACCTCTCCCATTTTCAGAAAACACTAATTCCAGGTACAATCGTTCAGTATTCATCAATATAGTTTCCCATTCAGACTTCGTTTCGTATTTTAACTAAATTGTCCAGAAGTTTAGAAGAATGTATATAATGGCTGAACTGTAACTCATACCATAATAAAAGAGTATAATACTATGCATTTAAGCCATTGTATCATATCTCCTCTACAATAAAACGATAACAAACTTTATCCATCCAGAATATAAATAAAAGGACAGATATAGTGTAACAACATATGTAAGCGAACAATTGTTTTCAATTATATCGTCATCAGGCTTTACTCTAATACACATGAATATTTATATGAAAATGTTAGACCAATCAAGGCTATTTGAGTCAATAATCACAATGAAATAGAATACGTAACCAAGCATAATAATAGTTAAAAGTACAAGTTGATAGTGGGAAGACAGGTGTACTGATAGTAGTAAGAATAGTAAATTACGATAACAAAAGTCTTATCAATAATTAAACATAAGAATTAAGAGGTCAAACGTGGGTAAATAGACTGGAATAGTAATCACAAAACATTAAAATCATTACGTAATAAGAAGTATGTAAATAAATAGATAGTGAAGAATACAAACGGAAAGAAATAGAAAATTACAAAAAAATGATAACCAAAATAAAAATTTTTACAAATAATAATAATGTCATTTAGATATAGTGTAGTTTTGGTCAACAGAGTAACTTACATTCACGTGCGACATCTGCGAAATGAGGAACTACTTCTGGAGGTGTGCCATTAAATACAGTTAGATTACGTTGTTCAGCACATTCTAGGTCCATACAACCTTCTGTACAATTTATGGTCCCAGGAGGACATCGACTGATACCTAATGCATCCAAAGTGTACAAGGCTAAATCTCTTAAGCGCAAAAAAAAAGAACAAGTTGGAATAAAAACATTTGATCGATATAACCATTATTAAACAATATCCTAAAATCTGTAAGTCAATAGGATTGTTTTAGGAAATAACGGCTACAAAATAACCAAAAATAACTTACTGTGACAAACAATTACTCCTGTCAATTTTTAATATGATCTTCGTCACAAACTGATGTCAGCTGGTGAACCATTACATAAACAAAGAGCTATGAACACTTGTTCAATTTTAATTTTGGGACTGACTCCTCAACAATAAGCATCCATAAACTAAGCAGGAAACAAAACCAAGAACTTCATGCCCCGTACTCACTGGAATCCAGGTCACTCAGTCAGAATCCAATAGCTTACAGTTTTAACTTTACGATATTACAAGAACAACCATTCCTATAAACGATATATATTGCACTTTCAGTCTGTTTAAAATTCATCCACTGAAGCTTGTCATTGATACTTAAGAAACTGTTCTTAAAACTAAACATATTTATTTACAAGTATTGTACGAAGACTAATTGTGCAACATGGTTGTGAGTGTCATTAAGTATGATCAATTAACAAACACAAGAAATAAACGAAAAAAATGACAAAATTTTTGTATTTGGCCTATCGTAAATAAATAAGGGTTGATTGAAGACTGTTATAAATTAAAATAATAATCTTTTGAGATAATGAAGTCTCGTATACAATTAATTTGAAACCCTTAGAGAAGAAAGTCATTTTATTCACATTTACTTCATTTTTCTCATTACTATTGAGAAGTGTGAATATCTGTTGAAAGTTCTCAGTTGGTCTAAAACTTATCATTTATTAATGAACAATATAAAATAGTAAATCATGGAGACAAAGTTTTTTTCTTTAAAACAAAAACTTCATATGGTTTTAAAAGTCTTTAGATTAAGTCTTGACTTCTAACAGATTATTACCGATACAAAATTATTATCTCAATGATAATTAACACATTTTATTATTTATTAACATAGACCAATCAGTTTAATAGATGATTAAAATAACGTTTAAAGCAATTAATCCCTTTGATAAATTTCAATAGTGTATTGAGAAGACGAAGATTATCAGAACTATGTGATACATTAGCGCAATACATTTCGAACAATCTGATCACACATATACTTGTTAAGAACATTTATATATAAAAATAAAAGGTCAACTAGACTGGAAATGTGGAGGGTAAGAGGAGACAAAGATAATAATAATAATAATAATAATAATAATAATAATAATAATAATAATAATAATAGTGTGGAAACAATTTGACACCTAATCACTGTGGATGATAAGCTAATATTAACAGGGTAGGTTTAAGGTGAGAACAAACTATTTTTGAATACACAAAGGGGGTTTGAATTGTCGTATGGCTAAGGCTTCGATAAACCTTAGTATATGCGATGGTGGAGAAGATTTGTAGCTCAGGTGGGTGATTTTGATGTTGGTTTGTTCTCTGAGCTGGATGGTTTAGTATATGCCCTTTTACACTTTTATACAACACCGCAAAAGCCAAGTTTAGATCAATCTTATGGCCTGTTTTGATTATATGTTTGGCAATAGAGGATGTTGGATGTTTATCCTCTGCTCTTATCGGGTCATTTGATTCAAGTTCCGAAAACTCTACCTCAAAGAGCTAGATTACGATTACTTTACACAGCCGAAGCCATCTGGATCAACTCCAAAAAACCAAACTTATGTATCCAGAAAAGGTATATCCAGCCACTATGTTTACCCTGACCAACGATTGGATCACCGAATTCCTAAACTAAATATTATAAACCTCCCCCTTTTTTTCTTTCTTTTTTGTTGATAACCTCCATCTTAATCTTCACATCCATCATTTGATTCTCTTTGTTTCTGCAACCATTTTGGTACATGTTCACACACCCTTATTTTCTGATCACGATTGCTCCTTCCTATGCATGTGTGATCACACACACATTTCAATTGGTAAACGCAGTGGGATATGACAATCGTTTTCATGTCTTCTAGGTTTTAAATCTAGTATATATAAATATTCTTAACAAGTATATGTGTGATCAGATTGTTTGAAATGTATTGCGCTAATATATCACATAGTTCTGATGGTCTTTGTCTTCGATCGAAATTGAAAATAACATTGATGAAATAATTTAAATTAAACTTGGTTATTATTCCGCATTGTTAGTGTAGTTGTAAACATGAAGAAATTTATTTCTCGTTCGACATTCAGAGAGGGGTTTTCTATGAAACATAAACAGATATAGAAATAATCATCTAATTCAATGGGATGAGATTTCATTTTCCATTCACATTCAACTCAAATCGATAGACTACGAAAATACAAACTATATATGTATTCTAACATAAATATTTAGCTCAACTATTGATATCTGTGAATGACTTAGTTTCATTTCCAGTCTTGTTAATAGACAAATTTTCATTTTTTTTTAAAAAAAAAGGAACAAAACAAAGAGTAATCGATTTGAAAATCTCAACATTAAATGTATAGAAAGAAACGATAATGACAATTTAAGTATGAAAACCAACTAGAATCGGATTATATTTCACTTTATTCTAATTCAGAAATAGTTCATGTACATGAACGTAGAAAATAGCACTTGAATAGATTATGTCACATTGAACCTATTGAACAGTGAAATTATTTATTCATCGAAATATTTCTATAATGAGCAAATAAGAGAATCCTACTATCAATTAGAAAGAGTGACTTAAACAACTACAAAGTTAGTGAAAGTAGAATGCATTGGTTTAAATGAGCTGTTAAAACATTTAAATAATAATTAATGTATCGTAGAAAGTCATTTTTATTTCGTAATAATTACACTGAACCTTTGAATTTGATCCCATCTATACAACATTTTCGGGATACAGTGGACAGCTAGGATGCAGCTGGACGATTTAGACTTCGCAGATGATCTGGCACTCCTATCACATACGCAACAACAAATGCAGGAGAAGACGACCAGTGCAGCAGTAGCCTCAACAGCAGTAGGTCTCAATATAAACAAAGGGAAAAGCAAGACTCCCCGTTACAATACAACATGCACCAATCGAATTACACTTGACGGAGAAGCTTATGAGGATTTGAAAACCTTTACATATATGAACAGAATCATCGATGGACACGGTGGATCTGATGCAGATGTGAGAGCGAGGATCGGCAAAGCAAGAGCAGCACATTTACAACTGAAGAACATCTGGAACTCAAAACAATTGTCAACCAACACTAAGGTCAGAATTTTCAATACAAATATCAAGACAGTTCTACTGTATGAAGCGGAGACGTGGACAACTATGAAAGCCATCATCTAGAAGGTACAGATGTTTATTAACAGTTGTCTACGCAAGATACTTCGGATCTGTTGGCCAGACACTGTCAGTAACATTCTACTGTGTGAGAGAACAAACCAGATTCCATCAGGTGGAGGAAGAAATCAGGAGGCGCTAGAAGTGTACAGGACACACATTGAAGAGAGCACCCAACTGCGTCACAAGGCAAGCACTTACATGGAATCCTGAAGGCCAAAGAACACATTACGCCGAGAAATGGAAACAGACATGAGAAGATATAACTAGAAAGGAAGGCTCAGGACAGAGTGGGTTGGAGAATGCTGGTCGGCGGCCTATGTTCTTGTTGAGTCGGCTTCCGGAGAACTCTATTAGAGCCGCAAGAGGCTCATAAAGAGCCCCAACCAATCAGCGATTAATTAGAAGCTATGTTACTAAAATAACGAGATCATGATTGGCTGATTAACACATTGTTACTATATAAACTCAAGGTCTCTTAATTACTATAAAATCCCTGTATTTTCTGTACATAAATGAACCTTGCAGTAAAGTGTTTCTCTCATACTCGTGTCTTCTTACTGGTGTTCAAGTCGCTGAATAGTTCTAGCCTAGGGTTATCAGAATAGATTAGGATCTGAATATAGCGTTCAACTTACAAGACGTATCAGTTCTATTGGGAGTAACAGGCATAAGTAAGTAAACAACATTTTATTATCAAACAATTGATCGTTTTAATAAAAATTCTCTGCTTAGTCCTTGAAATGGAATTTGCTTTTTAACAATCCATCTTGCTAATTTTATATGAATGTACTGTTGAAAACTTTAAATAGAAAGGAAGCAAACTATTGGTTCTGGGAGATTATTATTAGTTGTTTCATTTTCAATAATAAAAAGCAACTTTCTACTAGATTTTGAAACTTAGACATATCCACACCTAACCATACTTGTATTTTTGACCATAGGGCAGTATTCGCGTCTGTCGATCGACAGGTTTTGTGGTTGCATCTGACATTAAAATGCATAATAAAGAAATACATAAACCCTATGAAGGATCTATACATGAACACTAATGTTTGAGTCAAAGCTTATGGCGAACTGTCATCAAAATTGATAACATCTAATGGTATTCCATAAAAATTTTGTGGAGATTTAGTATTTATCATAGTTGAAAGCGTGAGTCAATTAAAGCTAGACCACCATGGACTCACGCTTTCAACTATAATAAATACTAAATCTCCACAAAATCCCTTCTATAATTAATATAATCATATGCTCACTAGTGACTTCGAGAAGTATATCTAGGAGCTCTAGTGAGAAGCAGTGACCAGTGGAGTTCAAAACCACGTCTGTTGTGAGATAGGAACTCACTGAAGACAATTGGTGAATGGTTGCTCAACTCCGTGGATCAGTTGAAGCTAGACATTAACACCGTTGGATGCCAACTCAGTGGTCTATCGGCTAAGGGCTTCGGCTCGAGACTGGTAGGTCCTGGGTTCGAATCCCGCGAGAGTGGGTTCGTGGATGCGCACTGCTGAGGAGTCCGATAATAGGACGAAACGGCCGTCCAGTGTTTCCAGGCTTTCCATGGTGATCTAGCTTCAATTGACTCACGCTTTCAACTATTCCATAAAACTCTCCACTTTTCTCAGTCTTAGTTAACTTTGTTACAAAGTTCTTTCAGAGATAACG